TCCTGCCGTTGCATACTCACGCGATCTATTTCGTGAGTGAGGCAGTAGTATGGGCATCTCCAGCCCTCTTTCCAAGTATCCCGCACCTGATCGATGGAAGCAAGTGGGTCTCTTGGATTCCCTTTCCTACGGGATTCATTGCGGATCTAATAATCCGTCTCCGGACGGGTTTGGAGGAGAGCGGGCTTATCAATCTTGGACGATGTCGGCCAAAAGTCATCCTCCCCCCCATTTTTGGTCCTAATTCCTGGGTTAGCCTCTCTGATGCAAAGATTCCAACTACACGTCCAACAGGTAGCGCAACAGACTATGGTAAGCTTTTGACCTCAACTCACGGAGTGGTAGCTTTGCTAGGCCCTCCTGTTGAGCGAGCATCCATCTCACCCGACCGTCCGTCTTGAGCTGAACCTGCTATGGCCCCCTTGCAATACTCTGACATTTCACAAAAGTGAGGCTATAGCCATCTCCAATGACGGAGGGGGAAAAGGGGACCAGAACATCGCATCTGATAATGGAAACATGGTGGACTCTTTCTGTCCATCATACCCAGCGCCGCAATTTCCTTTACTTCGTCCTCTAATATTTGTTCTCTTCCGCCTCCCACTTCTCTTCAACTTCTTCCTCTAATATCTGCAATCTGTTTTGAAAAGGGATATCAAAACCAGTCTCCCACGAAATTTAAAATTCCACATTAATCCTCATTCTCATTATTTCTTAGGCAGATTTCCGATCTCTGCCAATGCCTCAGCCCTCAGGCCTCTCCCTGAGTCATGTCATGGGTCATCTGAACTCGACTACTGACATTCCTCCTATTCTCCTTTTTCTTTTTTCTTCTTTTGGTTTTGGGTCCTGAACCCGTTTCGATTCGATTCGTTATTGCCTTTCAAATGTACTTTTTTTCAGACCATTTTCCTCAAATTTTCACTCAAGCTCCTCTTCAAACCTCTCGAAAAATTTGCTGAGAGGGACTTCCTGGACTCCTATATAAAAATCCTCAGCCTTCCGCTGGCACGGCCTGGGCAAGTCTTCAACACTCGCCATCATTACCGTTTTCCTCCCTCTTTCTCGATTCGGAATCATTGGGGTCCGGTCCTCCTTGAAATTGACTTGTGAATCGTCCGTAGTGATACTCCCATTGAAGGCTTTGGCATCTTTTGGCCGAGTTTCCTCAAAGGGGATCTCACGACCACGGATTTGCAGGCATCTCCGCCGCCTGTCTAGCACTGTTCTGTGCCGATTCAAAAAGTCAAGACCCAAGATTCCTTCTGCACCAAAGCAGGGCAGACCCTTCGCTATTAGAAAGCTTTGGGTCATCTCTACTCCACCAGTGCGGATTCTCATCAGGTACTTTCCCAACACCTGGTTCAGGAGACCGGTAATCGCCTTAAACATCTCTCTGCGTGGCAACTGGCCTTTCTCCATTTCCCAATATCTCTGTCTGAGAGCATCCCACACTCCTTCATGCAGGAGGAACGCGCTATTCCGCTATTCTACAAGTATCCGCATTTGGGTCCCTTCGACACTTGACAACAATGAGGCTCATCCGGTTCACATTCACATACAAAACCCAAGCATACTTCCTAATATATGTTTCACCTCCCCTTAACACAGATTCGGGGAGGGCCCTCTGTTAATTATGTGCAACGCCGCACATCTGACTAGCAACCAGCTGCATCAGCTCGGCATCGAAAGCGATCTTCACGTTGCGTACAAAAATTGGAGATGTCAAAATATCTTCAACACTCACACTCCCTTCTTTCCCATCCCCAAAAAACATGGGCACAAAAAATTATTGCATTGGCGAGAGGCACACGTCCCAAAACACCCGTCATCGCCCCTTCAACGGGAGGCATCCTTCCCCTCTTCTGTCTCACCATGAATATTGAGCTCTTACTCCACTGGTTGTCCAATCGCGCCTCTTGAAGCACGATCACGTCGGGGTCACCAATATGTAGGCGGCTCCGACGTGATTTAGCGTTAATGACTATCACGAAGAGATCGCCAGCGTGTTCGAGGTTCATAATGACTCCGTTGACTCCTTAAATATACAATTACTTTATTGTGACAACCAGCTGGTAAAGAGGTCAATAATAATGAGAACCAGGAAATGGAAATGGGGCAAAATGTCAAAATTCTGTTCCCCTAAACGCTTATTAGGCCATAGATACTCAATGAGAGGGGAAGGATGCCTCCCGTTGAAGGGGCGATGACGGGTGTTTTGGGACGTGTGCCTCTCGCCAATGCAATAATTTTTTGTGCCCATGTTTTTTGGGGATGGGAAAGAAGGGAGTGTGAGTGCTGAGCTTTGGAATAAGAGAGCCGTGCAGCCTGCTGAGCAACTTGATGCAAGGAACGCAGCACTCAGTTGTCGAAAGCCGGGGGGCTGCCAAGAATTGAACCCGGTCCTTCTGCTTGCCGGTCAGGTGTGCTGCCATTACGCCACGGAATTCGGGATGTTATGCCCCTCCATGTCATCTCAATCACTACAGTCGTTTGCCGCGGCGAACTCTGTCAGGCTGTACATTTCGATGTAGAGAGGCGGAATTTGTTTCACAATGGAAAAATGCTCCTGCTGCAACTCACACTTTACCCTGAGGCTCAGAAATTGTTGTTCACTGGTGCTACTGTGGCGGCGAGGCCTTTTCAGGATTTAGTCTTTAGCATTGTGCCTCACATGCGCCAATATCCTTCTGTGCTAAAGTCGAACAAGTTCTTGGAAATTTCCTGTTCCAGAATCAGTGGTGTCTGTGCCATTAGCTAATGCTAATAGCCCATGAGCTAATCGGTGATGCAACAGTATTGAATGTGCTGGGACAACGAAATTAGCAAAGTAGTCTTGAGTCTCATGAAAACCTACTAAGCCGAAGCGTTCACAATGGTGATTGTGGCAATGAGCTCGAATATTATGCTGAATGTGTTTAGGAACAAAATCTCTCTCTGTACTGTGAGCTGTATGTGCATAAATCTAATGAAGCGGCTCAGTTCCGAATAGGCAATGCGATGAACAGATGATGTCATGGAAACTATTCAAATTTCCCCTATTAGACGGCCAGCGTAGCGGCCGCAGGCCGCTAGTAGACATAAATTTGAATTGTGTATTGTGAGCATAACGTCTCCTTGATATCCTCCGTTCATCGCATTACCCATTCGGAACTAAACAGCTTCATTCGATTTATACACATGCAACTTACGGTACACAGAGAGATTTTGTTCCTAAACACCATCATCATGATATTCGAGCTCATTGCCACAATCGCCATTGTGAACGCCTCGGTTTAGCAGGTTTTCATGAGACTCAAGACGACTTTGTTGATTCCATTGTCCCAGCACATTCAATAACTTACATCACCGATTGGTTTATGGGGCTATTACCTTATTGTACAGATACTACTAATTCTGAAACAGTACAGGCCATTTCCAAGAACTTGTTCGACTTCAGCAGAGAAGGAAGTTAGTGTATGTGCGGCAAAATACCAATGAATAATTCCTAAAAATGCCTCGCTGACACATTAGCACTAGTGAGCTATCAGTATTCTGAGGCTCTGAAAAAGTGTGCGTTGCAGCAGGAGCACTTTTCCGTTGTGGCAACAATGTGAAACAAATGCCCCCTCCTCCCTACAGCAAAATGTACAGCCCGACAGTGCTTGCTGCGGGAAACGACTGTAGTGATTGAGATGACATGGAGAGGCATAACATTCCGAGTTCCGTGATGTAATGGTAGCACACCTGACTGGCAAGCAGGAAGTCAGGGTTCAATTCCCGGCCGCCCCTGCATTTCGGCCTTTGACACCGGAGTGCTGCGTTACTTGCATCAAGTTGTTCAGCAGGCTGCACGACTCTCCTATTCCCGAGCTCAGCATTCGGTGCATCTTCTTGTTCAACGGTCTGAGCGGCCCTACGCTCCCTATGTACTGCTGCGTGCTGTACATCACTGATTCTAGCCATTACGGGTTGCACCTCTTAAAGCACCTATTTAGGCACTTCACACCGCAATTGCAGTGGCAAAGGTTGTTTCCAGGCCGGCACTAATCGTTTTTTGTGTGCAGTGATTGCCTTATTGCCGTCCTGTGGGACCTTCTTTAACATTTTTCTTCTCGTTCAACCTCACCTCGCGAAAATATGCATCATTTTATGAAAGGAGCGGCCCGTTTGCGCGACATATGAAACAAACAACTTGCGTTATTATATTGACTCCATGAATCATGAGAATCAAAAAAATCAGCCATGACATGAAACGGAAACAAGAAACTATTGCATGGGAGCGATGGCGCTAACCGTCACGCCTGACCTAACGAAAAATATATACTGTAGAAAAATTACTTAAACAACGAATGCATTCAAATGGAGAACTTGCAGTCGATTAGTGAAGACGTGACACACATTCACTTAAAAACACCCAGTGATTAACATAGCTAAGTATGAAGCCTATTGAAATGGTAAGATGGGCCATAGCCTATGGCTCAGACTGGCATAACCCTATGGACCTGGCGCTAAGAGCGGTGGATGGCCAAACCTATGGCTTAGAGTAGCATAGCCTCATGGACCTGAAGCTTTGAGCGGTTGATGACCATGCCTATGGCCTAAAATGACGGTCTTGTAGGCCTCGCTCGTTGATGTGAAAACCACCACCACAACTTTCGGGCCAAAGCCGAACGATTGGTACACGATTATTGAAAGTTAAACTTTCTTCATTAATGTTCCTCTAGCTCGTTTTCATTGGAAGCGATCACATTAGAGACCTAAACCAACACTCTATTGTGTACAGACGACATGCTTCAAGCTCCGCAGACGTGTTTTCAAATGTGAACGCCTTTAAATGACGCCCGATAAAGGAACTCAAATTACGTCTCAGGAAAAAAAGGTACCATCAACAAAAATGCGGAAATTTTTACTTGATAGAGAGTTACCTCTTCTTTCGAATGGTGGCAAACCACGTCTCAATGAAACCTAGCATTACGTAGTAATTCATTTTCAAGAGGTAGCAGGAGTCTTGACACACAATGTCGTAATAACCATCTGCTGGGTGAGCCTTTTAAAAGTAGATTAACAGTATGCCAACATTCCATGGCCTAAAGTCCAGGCCCTAGATTTTGGCTTGAAAAGGTATAGCCCTATAGGCCTGGCGCTTTAGGCCGTGGATGACCTGGCCTATGACCCAGAATGGCATAGCATAGTAGGCCAGCGCGTTGGGGGTGACAGCCACCGCCACCATCACCACAACTTTTGGCCTCTTCGATTTAAGGTATTAGAAGATAGGGAGAAATTTGCATGGAGGAATGTAGTGCAGTCCTTATGGCAAACAAAGCAGCAGGCACACTCAAATCCCAATTCAGTGGATCCTGCTGCGCCAAGGATGCAAAAATCTTCTTTATCACAGCATCCATCCTCTCAACCAAACCATTCGCTCTTGGATAGAACGGGGTTGTGCAGGTCTTTCTGATCCCTAACGTTGGCAAACATCAGCCAGCAAGCGACTTTCAAGGTTTGGGCCTTGATCAGAATGAAGGGCTTCTGGCAAACCATACCTAAAAAATACCTCATTCACCCAAAAGGTTCATTACCGTTTCAGTCTTCTGATCAGGTATTGCAGAAGCTTCCACCTAACGGGTTTCAAAGTCACATACGACAAGAATATTTTGAATTATCCCTGGGTGTTACGGGCAACCCCACCATTACATCACATGCCCAAACGGAAAGAGGAGGTGGTATATCCATAGGGGTCAAGGGTTCCCTAGTACTAGCACGATCGACCTTCAAAGACTGGCATATTGCACAAGTCCGGATCCAATCCTTTACTGACTCACCCATCCTCCATCAATAATACAAAAGCTTAAGCCTTTCAAGGGTCTTCTCAACACCCATATGCCCTGAAGTTTGGTCATCATGAACTTTTGTCAACAAATTAGCCCTTGCAACTTCAGGTACCATGACACGCCCTTCAAATTGCAAATATCCCTTTAAAGTCATAATCTGATTGGACTGAGCTAAATGCATGTAATGCTCAGTTTCCAAATCAACTTGATTTTGTGGCAAATTCACTACTTCACCATCAAACATTTTCAAAATGCCAGACAGTTTTGGACACCTACACTGCCATTGAAAAATATCAAAAGAATTCATCCTAGGTTGAAGTTGTGTAATGACTGACATTGTTTGCTCAGAATTGCTTGGGAAAGATGGCACAATATGACTAGAATATTTTTGCTCATTATGACTAGCAGTCACACCTTCAGGATGAAAAAGTTATTTGTCCACAAAATCATCAGCATCACCGCGTCCAAACACTGCAGCGTCCAAACAATCATCTATACGGGGAATTGCATAACTGTCCTTGACCGTCACGTCATTCAACCTGCGGAAGTCCACACAAAACCTCCACGAATCGTCCTTCTTCTTTACTAAGACGACAGGTGAACTCCAAGGGCTGACTGATGGATGAATCAGTTCCTTTGTCAAGCATATCCTCAACTTGGTCTTTTATGATTTCCCTTTGCTCATGAGTCACTCGTCTAACTGGCTGACGGATTGGTGCAGGTCCCGCAGTGTTGATTCCATGAGTCATATTATTTGCTCGACCTAATTTTCCCCCAGGAAATAAGAAAAGATCCAGATTCTTCGCCAGAAACTGTCGAAGTTGGAGTTGGCACTCAAATTGTTCATTGGAAAATCAAATTTCTTCAGATCTACATTGGAATTAGACAGAGCCAAACCATTTGAACCAAACTGTCCGAGTCTCCGGTTGAATTTGCTTTCCGAATTTGAATGACTTTTTGTTTGATGTTGAGGAGCCGCCTGGACTGCACTTACTTCCTCGACAACTCCCAATTTTTTATTCATATGCAATTGGACAGCATTAAGTCCTAGGTTGATTACTCGAGCCAAGGTTCTTCCATCTGATATTGTATTTACACTTCCAGCCAAAAGAATATGACCCGGCAATTCTGTACTCTGCTTAATCACAACCTCTGAAGCATCTGAAACTCGATCCACTTGAACTGGGATGCCATCTTAGAACGGCTTGGAATCGAAACTGGTTGTGTCACAAAAACACTCCCCCAAGAAAACATTCCTGAAAGGTACAAAATAATCTGTTCCGTCTTTATAAACCAGACGTGAAGTATCAATATCAATCATTTATGGTCCAAATGAATTATTCACAAAAAAATCAGTGCGTATTAGACAAGGCACGACGAGGCTCTGTACCACCCAAAAATGATGAACAATGATCAGACATTCAATCTCAAACTCTAAGAGAACTTTTTCCATAATCTTCAAGGTATGACCTTCCGCTGACTGGACTATCGGACGGTCCCTCTTTGGGATGATATGATCCAGTCCTGACAATTTGACAGCAAATTGGTGGTTCACAAGAGAAAATATAGAACCAGTGTCTACTAATAAGTTTATCTCCACCATTTCAACTTTTGCAGTAACGAAAATCCCCGGTATTTGTGGTGTTATTTGCATTGAGGGTTTGAGGATACCATTCTTGGGAAAATTATGGTTTAAACCTTTACCCATGATCAAATCAGGATGGAAGGACACTCTATTTGACACTTTAGGGGCTTTGTCGTCAACGGTCAGCGGATTGGCCATTGGTTGTGACCAAATCTAGTTTCCCAATAAACTTTTTAACCCGAGGCTAGAAACCAGAACAAGCCGCAGGACCCAACCTTGATGGCGTATATTGTTGGCAGAATTTTCGGTTATGTCCTTTCTTGCCACAGAATTCACAAATGGTTTCCAGCAGTGGAGTAATTATTTTTCGTAAAACTCATTACAACTTTTGCCAGTAGAAGAACAAAAATTACATTTTTCCTGGATTTAGCTTAATACACAATTATTCTGATATTTTCAGATTGATATCTGCAATGACTACATGGGAGCAGAAGGCTGCAGAAACAAGCAATGCTCATCTTTGCATATTTGCCCAAAATACCTTTTCGATCTTTGCATGGATAGGAAATGTGAACTTGGGCATGAAATCCCGACAGATCACAATGAACTAGTTCTCCAGGAATTCAACATAGAGATGAATAATTTTTGCAAAGAAATGAAGAATTGGCTGAAACCTGACACAGTGGTTCCAGATCTTTGTGATGATTATAACCTTGGAGAATGTTCCAATCAAAATGAATGCCTCAAGATGCATCTTTGTGCCGGTTTCCTTATGGGAAGTTGTAAAGAGTGTGACCTGAATCACAACTTGCTAAACGAACAATGTAAACTGCTGTTGGAAAAAAGCAATATCAGCATGCGACGAACAAAAAAAGATTTGAAGATGTGCATAAAGGATAAATGTGCCAACTCAGACGAAATCGCAAGTCAGAGAAAACAGAAAGAAACTAAGCATATTGAATTTTGTGATGAAAAAAACGCGCGTACTATAGAAGAACCTTCGTCGCAACAGAAAATAAAGCCAGAATCCTCCAAACCGAGAGTTCCACCTCGTTCTTGTAAAATGTGCACGCAGAACACTGTTGTTGGCATACAGAAACTGAATTGTGAACGAGTGAGTTTGAGCTTTTCGAACTTCATACTTTTATTAATTTTTACATAGATTTTTGCAGCATTAGATACAGTGGAAATGCTGTATGTGGAAAGATGGAGGTTCCTGGAAGAAGCACATATGATATTGTCATAATGACGTAAATCCAAATGTAGCACATGGGGTAGGGTAACTTGGGGGAATATGGCCATTGGGGTAATATGGCCCTTCACAAGGAATCCCCTTATAGACTGAATAATTAGTTTGGGCGAATTAAAAAAAATAGTTCTATCGAAGAGTACATGCAATTGTCGAAATGTGTAGACCTGTTCATCAATCCAGTTCCCACAGGAATTCGGGATACATCGATGTCTTAAAAGTCATATGCATACGATTCTTTGACTCATGACCGTGAAACTAATATGAGCCTTGAGCAACATAAGCCTATATTTCCTAATAGCAGCATGGATACAGAAACCATTACTTCGAAGTTCTTCTATGGTCTCTCCAGAATGCTTGTGCAAAGTGCTAGCCCCTTCACTTGCGGTTTGTAGGCAGTGTTGTCAATTTTGTAATGCGAGCCAATATGGGGAAATATGGCCATCTCGATTTGGGGTAATATGGACACATCTTTCATTTCATGTTAGCACCGCACAGACCTATTGATACTGTCTGCTTCCTTTCGTGTGGGATCTCAGACTGCAANCCTCGAGTCAGGTAATGATGTCGACTTCTTTGTTTGTCCTCGGTGCAGTTAATGTTTCTTTTTCAACTGCTGAGAGTCCTTTATCATGTTTCAAGGTACTCAGCATGTTCCAGCACATTTCACACGTTCCTGGACAATCTGGAGTTGTTTTTCAGAAGTGGCCATATTCCCCAACTATAGTGTTAATATGGCCTCTTGAGACCTACTCAAAAAAAGACCCAAAGACGCCATAACCATGGTTTTTTTGCATACGCCTTGCTGGCATTTAGCAAAGGAGATATCACGCAATATTTTAGAAACATTGTAAAAGTGAAATTCAACCTTGATGGACCATGATGACCAGGTTTCATTTTGTAGGGCCATATTCCCTATAATGCCTGGCCATATTCCCCCAACAATAGGGGTAATATGGCCTCTTGGGACCCATGTGAAGAGGTCCCAAATACTCTTTTCCCATTTACTTTTCTGCACGGATCTTGTTGGGAATAAATAAAGGAGACATCAATTAATATTTTCTGAATATTGGCAAAGTTTCATTTCACCTAGACGTGACGCTATAACCTGATTTCATTTTTGGTGTCCATATTCCCCCAAGTTACCCTATACTTTCAAGGTTTCAGGAGATAGGAATTGAAGAAAATGGGGCAATGTGACTTCGAAATAAATATATTTAAAATTCAAAATTTGAGACGCATGTCACCTCAATATTTAAAAAGGGAAATTTATTGCAATATTAAAACAATATGTTGACACTAAAAAAGATGATCGATGAAAGTAACATTACATGCAACCCTGCAGTATCTTAACTAGATGGACTTCATTATTTGCACGAGCTTTGAAACCACTGCAGTGTTTTCTTTCACTGGCCCTATATTCAAAGAAGGATATTCTATTTCTGTCCTTCCAATGATAGTGAATCGAGGATTGATTTTGTGACAGGATTTGTTAAATACATTTGCAAACGTTCCTTTCGTGCTTTTGGAATACCTCATGAAAATCAGAAAATTTCGTGAAAATGGTCTTAAAAATCACGTTTGCTGTATTTTTACTTCAAGAGCATTTTCCGACCCTGATTGCTGACCAGAGACCCTCTTGTGGAGCATCAGCATTATTTTACTCCAGATATGAACCTTTTAATGCACCGTTTTTAGAATTACAGCATAAGTTTGATCATGGCCATTGTTCGTTTTTGTTTCAGCCGACTTTCCGCCAAAAGTGTACTCTGTGAGTTAGATCCAAGAGACATACCCCATAATTCATGAAAAATAATGGGAATGGGTTTATGTGACATGAATGCCTGATGATGGCTTTCTTTCTCATAAAAATTGACTATCTTTGTCTTAAGAAAAGTTCCAATAATGGGAAATTTTGGCATTTAAATGCACTTCTCCTTATTCTTACCCGAGGCCAGGAACTGAGCAACGATGGAAAGAAATGAGTTTAATGAAATAAGTTACTGAAATAAAGTTCCTCTTAATCTTTACAAAAGATAAAAATAATACCATTTTGTTGGGTCCTTCTTTCAGTTTCGCATTTAATCTGCCAAGCTGTACCAATTACAGGAAACGATTGAGGAGGCTCTTAAGCCTGGTTAACTATCAATCTCATGCAGACGCGAAAGGCGGCGATGAAAATTAATAAATGAAACGGACTTGGAATGATGCTCGAATAATGTCGAATGACTGTCTCTTTCATCTAAAGGTATAAGCTTGAATTTTCTCGCAGGTAGTAACGATTAAGGACAGAAATCTGCATCAATTGACCGGGAATGGGCAAGTGGAAAAAACGACAACATACATTTCTAAGGAAAACACACTCCTGGCGAGCAAAATCAAGATACTCGGAGAGAAGCAGCAGAATATTGAACTGGAGTTGAACACCATGAAAGAAAAGCTAAACCAGCAAGAAGATCAGGTTTCGATGCTGTCCCGTTTTAATATATCATGCCAAGATTTCCTTTAGACATTCAAATGGTGCTTCACAATTGCAGATACAGGAAATGAAGCAAAAGTACGAGAACGTGCACGAGGCACTTCGTCGAACAAAATTTCATTCGGATGCAGAACATATCGATTCTCCTCAGGTAGCACAATGTCAGGAACCCCAGTCACCAACACCAGAGGTTTGTGCGAATTGCATGGATCCAAAATTAGAGAATTCATAAGCCTAGTTATATTGCAACCGTGCGTCCTATATTGTAATGTACCTTCAGTTAAATAAAATGCTAAACGAATAGAGCATGGTCTCAAAGAAGTGCAAAAACACCTCCTTAGAGCCGAAACATATAATGTGTCTAATCTGCACAACAAAAACCCTAGAAAGAGCTGTATCGAAGTGTCCATTGTGGATTAAAATTCTACAAAGGAACATAACCCTAAAACGCAGGAATGAATGAATTCCAAGAGTAGTCATTGTTATTCCTGTTTTCCACATTTCACAATGATGGATCAGGTTTACACGGGATCAACATTTCGTGCACGTCAAAAGTGACAGTGACCTTTAGACGTTTTCTCATTCGTACCTGCCATCGTCTATAGGCCTGATTATTCTCTCAGAAAAATATGAATTCATATTGATACTGATAATTTAGAATTAGAAGCCACCGTATCAAATTCATGGCTTACAATACTTTTTTTTAAGTACTGGGTGATTCGAAATGTGTACGCAAACATTGTAAAAACTAAAACATGTAATCTAGGGACTTGCAATTTCCTACTAAGATTATTATACTCCTCAGGTTTTTGTGAAATACGTCACACCTCAACATAACCACCTGCACGTGCATGACACAAACTCGTGCCACGGGAGTTTAGTCTAAAATTTAGTTAGGGTTTCGGGGCAATAGTGGCAACCATAACGGCGATTTTCTTGTGCTAAGACATCATCTTGAGACAGTCTTCAATAACATGTCTTAAGAGCTTTAATTAAGTTAAAAGTGATTAATAGCTTTGGACGAATGCAAAAGCATTACTTGGCCGCCGACTCTTGACTTTGGACCATTAGTTCAATTTCTTCGTAAGGAAACCATTATTTCACTAAATATTGAATGGTAAAAAAGGGGTTTTACATATCGAAAAAAGGTTCGACAGAACTTTTAAAATTGGAAGACATGAAGTCATATGCCTCATTGGATGGAAGTCGAGGACAAAGTAGTTTCTCTTAAGTGGCAGTCTAGTTTATAGTCCCTTTTTACATGTTAAATGAATTGGTGTGAAATGAGTTTCTTTCGAAAGCTACTTCTCGACAGAGTTTTAATCTTGATTTCGGTGACTATCAACTGTCACGGATGTCAAACTGGATATCGGGCTAGATCGTTAGCAATTAGCCTTCATTAAGGGGTAATTAGCTCAATATTGTGTTAAATAGACACTTGTTTTCCTTAGAGATACATCATTCAGAGCCACCTCTAAGTGTGTTTCCTTGAAAAGTCAATGTTCAGTCGAAAGCTCATGTGATCTACATTATGTAGACGATTCTGACTGACGTTCTTTCTAATCATTTTCTAGAAATAGTAAAAAACTGGAACTTGAAACGTAAGTAATGCCATGCTAAGTTCAGAAAAATTCAGACTTTGGAGGTGAATGCCCTAGGTGCACAAATTTCAAGGGGAGATGTTTTCAAATAATTTTGGACGTAGACGTGAGTGATTGGCTGACTGGCGCTAATTATAACCATGTTTTAGATGAGAGGAGAATATAAAATCGCAACGACTTTAGCTGCCATGATGATGAGTTCAGAAAAAAACATTAAATTTGGGAAACGTCGTCTGCGGCTAATACAATGTTTGGGTGATATTTCCTCAAAACGTCTTCACTGGATCAATAACATCAATATACAATATGAAGTAAGGAGGAAGCAGAAATATTCGTTACTGAAGATCTGCTTATTTATTTCAGGAAATTTTCCACTTCCGTTGGAAATATCCTCTGAGAAAAAAAGTTGTTCAAAAGTTGCATTTTTCAAAAATATATTCCTTACATCGAAATTCCCAGATACACCAATATAAAATGTGGCATGTGCAGCACTCTAGGGAGTAGGGTTTCTATTACATTGGAGGGGACAACGCAAGAAAAGATTTCCCTTCAGTAAAATCTTTCTTCGAGCTGGAAAACAAAAATTACAGTATGAAGGGAAAACTCAATGGGGAACTTTTGGGGAAAGTACGATTCTTTTAGTAATTTCCAGTATCCTCATTTAACAATGACGTCACATAATACGAAATTACATTTTGCGAAAGCATAAAATACCTATTTACCTGTAACTCTTTCATACAGCAGTTGCTTTAGAATAAAATCTGTTTGTATTTTTGGTGGATTTTTCAGTGATCTATGAGAAGCCGAACCAATATTTTCAAAAACTATTTAGGGAAGACTCCGAGAAAATTTGGGAAAAAACTCAAATTTTCCCCTTTTTTGTCCAAACCGTATCCTCACAACGTTCAGCTTTCCGAAAAAATCTTTTTTCAGCATGTTGCGATAACGATTTTAAAACAATGTGGCCCATGTTAAGATAATGGGAAATATTTTGTAAGTGGAAACAACAATTTTTTATTGGGAATACTTTCCCAAATAATAGATTTATCCAGTAAAAAGGACGTCAAAAAAACCTCAGAAATCCCATGAAAAAGCTCTACAATGGCAGCTGCAAAGCGTGCAATGTAGAACTGTGGGTTTCAAAATAAAATTGTAATACATTTTAATTGTGAAACCTTTTCAAGTGGAACCTTTGAAGTAAGTTTCAAGGGAAGTTTAGATACAGAGTGTACTACTACAAATAGTCGGGTCCGTATAATCTGCGAACAAGGCCAAGCACGCGAAATATCGTTATTTTCTAAAAACCAATGCAAATAATGTTTGAAGTACCACGCAATTTGATCATTACATCGGTGCAGATAGTTATCATGCAATGTAATTCATCGCCACGTGACATCATTTTTTTGCCATTCTCTACTCTACACATTCAGATAAAAATTCGTAATGACTGTGTGAACGTTATTCTTCTCAATATAGTGGAAGATTGCGCATGTTTAACAATCAATTACCACATAGGCGAAAGGAGGACATTTGCATGCCATGTGGTAACCAGTACTTTCTAGTATCAGCATGTATTTGTTTTAAATCTACAAAAGCGGTTTCTGGAGAAAAAAAAACATATTTCCCCCAATTTATAGGAAATTGATAAAATTTGCCTATGAATATCAAACTAGATTTGAATGATAAAAATGCCAAATGACACCGAGAGATACATGAATGAATGTAGTTTAGGAAAATGTATTTGATTCAAGTTGTAATTCACGTTTAACTCTCGAAAAAGAAATGCCAAAAGAGACGCATCCTGCAGTTTCCATGATTCTCAAAATAAAAAATATGCAGTATATATATTAATAAAAGTATAGCCGGGTATCTTTCCATATTTCTGCACAGTTCGTACTTTCAAGTACGCGACACATCATTTTTACTTACCTTTTGAAATTAGTTTAGGAGAGACGGTACACCGAATGTTGGGTAACCAGCGATTTGGAAAGTACCCTTTTTAGAGCCCTCCACTCATGAAATTTTCATCCATAACCATTGCAGATACAGGGGTGAATGAGCTGCCATATCTCATCACTTGGATGGGAGGACCACATATATTTTCATGACAAAAAATCTTATTTTGACCTAACATGAAAACCATGGGCCAGTATCATTTAAACGAACCCATCCTACGGGACTGTTCCCAGGTCACTCTAGATGGCGTATTTTTTTCCTTATGGAACAACATCACCGATTTACCCGTATGACATGGTGCCTTGTCTCGCATGAACACAAAATCGCCATCGGGGAACGACTGAGCCTGTGGGATGAGCTACTTTTCGAGAACACTTCGTTATTGATCCTGACGCATCATTCCATCGACAATGTGAAAGCAACCGGTTCTCCTGCTCAATATCAGAGCATACCATGACTTTCGTTGTGTGCTTCACCTTCGTGTTGAGGCATTCTTCGTGGTGTTTTTCGCCAGGGCGCCGATAAACCACTTTGGACTTTGTCCACAAATTTCGAAGTGGGATTCATCGGACCAGCAAACCTTCTCCGTCTTCCGACGTCCATGATGCATGTTGTTTTCCCCACTTCAGTCGTTTTTCCTTAATGGTGACCGTTAAGCGGGGCTTCCTAACTACTTACATCCTTGAAACCCATTCTCACGAAGACGTCGCCGGAGTGTCATCTCGGAGACGTTCACGTTGTGCTCCGCGAGAATTAACCAGAGTTGCTTGTTGGTAGTTTTGACGGTTCTTCTTCACAGCTGTAACGTCAATCTTCTCGCTTCGTTGTGCATTGATTCTTGAAGCAATTTTGCTTTTTGAGGATCACAAATGCCGTCCCGGTCCTCAGCTTCTGGCAAAATCAGTCAACTGCTAATTTTGCATTTTGCACGACCGGACAATTTGACAAATTTGGCGCACCGAATGATCTCGTGCCATGACGAGTGCTTGAATTTGCCCTTTCTGTTCAGAAATGCCGTGAGATCCTTTCCTTTGCCCATGTTACGATGCTGTCATTTGAAAAATGTTAAGCTGGCGAGAGAAAATTTTTGGAAAATGGCACTGTCCCTATTGCTTTAAACAGGGACTGTAATCCTGTTCATAAGTTGCAAAGGACCATATTCGGCATGTCTACTTTCAACCGAAGCGCATGGCTGGGAATGCCTTGGGGCTATAAGGAATTAAGGAATTTGGGTGGGTATGTCGCTGAATCCTGTGTCTTCCATATAGTTTGCACTCAAGAAGACGTGTTCCTGACTTGGGAAACGTACTGTGACCATGTCGTTTATCATATTAACATGGTCATTTCTGGGTGTCATAATGACACTGCGGTTCAGAGCGTGACGATTATTCTGAGCAACGTCGAGGTCTCCAAATATCTCTTGAATGAGTTCAAAAGGATTTTGGGAAGGTACGCACATGTTTTCTGCAATGTGCACCTGACTTCCAAATCTCCCCTCTCGAACATCTATTAGGTAGTTAGCCAAAGCTTTTAGCTCTGATCGCATGTTGATGGTCAGCGGGAACACGATGATTTGCCTCCATATGTAGGAGGGTTTTATAGTAGCATTCACAATGCCCGCCAGAGTGCCACGAGGCACAACAAGCAACACTTGTCTGAAGTCTCCTGCACATATGACCACTTTCCCTCAAAACAGTCGCTGCTATAAGGTTGGTTGGACTAACTTCATGATGTCTCGAAAGGACCAGTCCAAAGCCTCAAAACAATGTTTGTGAACCATGGGCGCCTCGTCCCAAACAATAAGGCTATTTTGCTGAATTAATTTTGCATCATCGCTTTGCAGGCTCATGTCACATGTGGAGACAGAGATGATTTTAATAGGAATCTTGAAGTGGGATTGAGCAGTCGTCCCACAATCCAATAGCAATGCTGCGATGCCGGAGGTGGCTACAGCCAAAGCAATCTTACCACTGCTACAAGGGAGTTAATGATGAACGTTTTTGCCACATCCCCTGGGACTATCGATGAAGAACGCATTAGATTCCAGTCCTTCCACGTGATTGTATTCTACAGCTTCCATGACCGCATGAAACACCCGACACTGATTATAATTCATCATTGGCATCTCGCACTCGATGCGTTGTACCGGTGACTCGCCGTTATAATTTAGCTGCTCTTGGATGACTTTTGGCAAAGCGCCTGCTGCTAAGGGCATCTCTGGCGGAATACGCATACCAGGGAAGTCATTCAGGTTCTTCCCTTGTACCCTGAGTAGGTCTTGAATGTGCCGCAAAGCTTAATCCTCCACTTTTTTTGTGAGTAGCAAGGTAGGATCATCTCCGACCTAATGGCACTGTGAACGATGTCTTCAGTTTGCTAACTCAGATGGCGCAACCATAACGCATTTGGGTTGCTGGGAGTTCCGAAAAGTAATGGAATGACGAAGAGCTAGCGAAGTTGCACAGGCATGCGGACAGCGGCCGCTTCTGATAAGCAGTTGTCCCACTGTGTGTCATGTAGGCCACGGAGAATTACGGCTTCTCTAAATGTGGCGCATACCTTGCCATTGATTGTGCGGAGGCACTCATACGATTTTGCTCCCGGCACGTGGTTGAGCAACAGGGGCAAGTCAAGTATTTTGCCTTCCCCAGGGTGAGTAAAATACATGCGGTCATTCGGTGGGTGGCTGGTGCCTGGCCCGGCCTTACGCCGCGGTTCCCACTCCTTGGAATGCTTGTTCCATGTATAAAGAGTTGAGATATCAGGATATGGCAGTTGATACGTCCTCTGTAACCGATCTAATGGCCTCAAATATCACCTGTGTACGATCGTGTCCCTTGTAAACATATTTGTGCAAGTACGTGACGTATCTAATAGAGGCGCAATATTCCACATTAAGGTGTGCATTGAACTGAATTGAAGGTGTGAATTGAAAGGACGCAGTTGTAAGGAACCACCCAGCGATTATTTAAAGGTACTCCGCGACTGGTTACTGTGCGGTTGTCATTCCGGCGACGATAGGTGGGATATCCATCAGGGGAGTCGGTGATGTTGTCACAGAACTCACGTGGGTAACGCTTAGAGCAAGTTCTATCAACCATGCAAGGGGCGTTGCGTTTCAAAGCACTGCAAGGACCATCTATCATGCAAGTAGTCACTACGTGGAACAGCTCTTGCTCAAGGTCGGGGTCAGGCAGTTCGGCGCAAGTGACTCTGTCATAATCATCAGGGCTTCGCAGCTTGTCTTCCGGAGCCAAGATCAGAAGTATACTGTATGTGCATGAGGAAGTCCACGTTTTTGGAACTGAATCACATACGTGTGGGCTACAGTTCGGCCACGTACCATATCCTTGGTGAGGTCATGCAGTAGTTGTGTCAGCTTCATGCGGAACACTCGGGCTACCAAATCAGGACGATGCCATGGAAGTTATTTCGTACACTTTTTTTTTTCTGGCGATAATGAAGAAAAAGCGATATCAAATTTCCCGATTTTTGGCATACTCAAAATTCGCAAATCGTCACCATTTTCATGAAACCCTTCGGTCATATATGTTTTCGAAATCATCGGGAAAAGATCTAACGATTCATGTCCCAAGTTTATACCCCAAATTCCACTCAAAGAGGTGTGATGGCTCGAAATAAGCTGAAATCACAATTTCTCGCAATAAAGCACAGTCTACCAAATCAGGACGATGCACTGGCTATTGCCTAGGAAGCAGCTCCTCCCTAATTTCTTTCCACCTGGGGTTGCAGGTGAAAGTAAAATAAAGAAGTCTCGCTTGCCATAGTTGCGAGCAATGGCCATGGCATCCTGATACAACTGGTGCATGTGGCGTGGTGCTCCGAAGAACGTCGATGGCAAGATGACGCGGCGACCAATCACACGGGCATCTGTGTCACCTTTCGAGACGGCGTCTTGTAGGCCTAGAGTTCAGTCCGGAATTGTGTATGTTTGAAACGAACGAAGTTTAGACGTCCACTTTCCATCATACAGTACATGTCTACTGTATATCCCTGGGTAAGCCATCCCCTTGTTGTAGTATGAGGCTGCTGTGGAGGCATGTTTGTAGTCGATAGGCAGCAAATTTCCGGACAGTAAGAGTAGAACGACAATGTCCGGAATTCGTTTCATCTTCCTGGACTTCATTGCCGCTCGCTTATCCTACCTCAACATCTTTAATTACTCCAGCATGTGGAAAGACAGCAATGACGACCTCTCCATCATTGCCTACGTCTTCCGGATGTTCAGCTACAGTTGATTGCTGTTTAGTAGGGTTGATATGGTGTATACCATTACCCCACCCCGGCTATGCACGTGGAAACAGCAGCACGAAAAGCAATGGATCGTACGCAGGGTTAAGTTCGTTGAGAAGACAGATGCCGCCACGACGCAGATAAACAATGATGTCTCAGCTGTTCATCTCCTGCTCGATACCATTTAGAAGAAATGCAGCGACCTCTGGAACAGTCGATGCATTGTACCGCCGGCGATCTAGGAAGCCATAAACCCTGATAACGATTCGTACATCATGAACGCCAGGGGCATCTAAGGCTGTAGCAGATCGGAAGCTATGTAGTAAGGGTTGCAGGAATGTAACATGGGGCGCGTCTTTTTCTCCAGCCGTAAGAAGGTGCTGGAGAAAAAGACGCGTTGGCTAAGCACGACCACGTCATTGAAGGACGTCACCATTGAGGAAGCAACTGCGAGTGGAACATGACGATCTATGAGAACGCTGAGCAGCAATGCCTTGAAATAACGTCATTAGATACTGTGAGCCTCAGCAGAGCTAGAGGCTGGAGAAAAAGACGCGCCCATAGACTGAAACTGCTAAAGAAGATCGGGGCGCAAGCCTTCCATGACGTTCAAGCGACCTTGTATTAATAGCTCTTGCTGTTGGTCAATTATATAGAGCTGAGCAAATTGGGGACGTTCATTGGTAGCTGGTTGTAGGGGTCCCATGAAATGATGGACGGCGCCGCTAATACGGAACTGGTGGACATAGGTGGACATAGAGTGAAAACGGGTTGACCATATATGTTGCCAACCTTTTCATGGTGCCATGTCAACGCGCTACAGAGAGGCATTGACGGTCCATGCGGCCTAAGTAATACGGCCGAATGTGAGTCAAAAGATCTCCTGCTGCAGATCTGAAGGAGTTAGGGAGAAACTGAGCGCTGCATCGTTGACGCCTTTGGGAGTCAGCTTCTTCACGCTGTTCTTGGGGTATAGCAGTTCGTAGGTCACGTTCTTGTTGATGTCGTCGGGTAATTGCTTCTTCAAGCTGTTCTTGTGGCATAGTAGTCCGCCGTTGATTTCGTCGGGCATTGGCTTCCCCACGCTGTTCCTGAGGTATGGCAGCCCGCCGTTGACGTCGTTTAGCGTTGACTTCCTCACGTTGATCATGGGTCATGACAGCTCCTTGTTTGCGTTCGCGTTGACGTCGTAGTGCCATAGAAGCTCGCTGATCACATTTCCATCCATTGACGGCCTGACGCTGCTGTGCGGACATCACGACCCTTCGCGCAGGTTTCGAAACTTAAGTGGCTTCTTGCTACTCCGAATACATGTCTCGATGAGGCTTTTCCAAGTTGAAACATGTATGAAGAGAAACGGTGAAAGAGAGCATAGCATATGCTGAGGAAATAGGGAATTAACTGAGGAATTAACTAACAAGACATTTTCATATCGGTGAAAAGCAGATGTTTTAAGTGAATTAATAATATATTTTAAATATCCGAGTGTGGTAGGCAGTGAAATAGTGAGTTCATTTACCCTTCGGGAAAACAAATTAAAGAACATTTTTAACTAGGCCACACCGGCGTCCCGCGGGATCCGCTTCGCTGGTAACAACGTTCCAACAGACATCAATAACTCAGGTCTAATTTGTAATTAGCAGTAAGAGAAAATGAATTATTAAAGGAATAACGTTTGAATTTCAAAGTGCCAATATTCATGAATAATAAGGGATGCCTCACGTCATCAGGGAACCCTCAACTGGATGTGTGCAAATTCTCAGATACACCCGCCTTGTAGCATTCATGTGAGGCAGGTAGTTGAAGTTTCAAACATCCAGGTATTGGATAAAAAAAGGGATGATTTTGAGCTAGGCACGGGATGTGGATAAACTCTAGTGGATCGGTCTGAAACGTGGATTTAGCGGGCAGCTCGGTTTGCAATTCAGTTTCTTGTTTGGTGCAGGGGAATACACTATGAAAGAGTCTTTTTCTCCATCCGCTTCCAGCGGCTGGCGGAACGTAGTGACCTGTGGTGGAGTTGACTACCCGCAGAATGTTGCACGAAATATATCACATGAAAATACTGTATGAATATGTTATAGATATATTAGGATATATGTTATAGATTAGATATATGTTATAGATATGTTATAGATATGTTATAGATATATAGATATATGAATATGTTATAGATATACTGTACTAGTTTCAACCGAGAGAGTTGAGGTATGAGTGGGTCATATCATGTGCTTATGTAAAGGTTATGTTTTACTTGGGCATTCAAGAGCAGGGATGTTCGGCGCCCCTCCTGGGCCATTGCGTCTAGTAGCTATGCTATGTCCTTCCCAGGCATGGTCATTGTACTCCAGTCAGGTTTTATTACGCCCTTCTGGTCTAGTCTTCGTTGTCCTGGTGAGGCCCTTCATCGCGCTGGCATGGGTAGTAGACCTCATTTTTTTTCCTCCAGTTCGGTCAAAAGCCAAAGAATGAGAAAGTCAATCTGTTTTGAGAACCAATGTGTGAGTTGGGTTAGGGAAGGATCGCGCCCTTTGACCACAATTATTTTTTAATCCAACTGCTCCATCACCCCCAAATTAGGCTGACTTTCTCGATCCTTCGGTCAAACATAGAATGAATGCGGATCGCTTGATGTGCCTTCTTCCTGTTCTCTCTGAGTTTAGTTTGTAGATGGCAAAAACGCAAAATCAGTGCGTGAGAAAGTTTGAGGGTTGAGTTTTTCTTTGGGGCATGAGGACCGAAGGTAGAGGAGGGTGCCGGGACTGGACGAAGAAAAACAAAGGGACGACAGGGACTTGAACCCAAAACTCCCGTTTCGTGGTCTGGTGCGCTACCATTACACCACCGAACCCAGGACATGAAATTCTATTGCCTATCACTCCATATAAGGGTTTCTATTCCAACGAAAACGGGCACTCTCGCCCTCCGTTCAATGTAACTACACATTAAAATTACTACTTATTTTATCATCATTCGCAACTAAAATATGCACCAACGCAATCTACTCATTAAGAGCTTGCGATTGATGTATCACAGGTACTAAACGACGGGTTGGAAGTCTTTCCCTCATGGATAATTGCTAATTAGCAGTAAGAAATATGCACTTAGCAATCAGATGTAAAGGACATCGTTGACATAGAAGAGACTGCCTAGTCCCATCCAAGAGAGAGCACTAAAAAGGTAGCATCAATAAAATTAATTAACTTTTAAATTAATAAATCAACACATATTTTTTGTGAAAGGTTCTAGACCATGACAATCAATATGAGACCACTCTCACCATCACACCATTTTTCCTTTATGGTTAGGTGATTCGGTAAACTGCGTATTATATATGTGCATTAATGGATTTATTGTTGCAGACATCCTGGATGCACTGTGATCTTACATTCTGAAAATTGTTGTGATAGCGTGGGTGATTGATATTCCCATTGCTAAATAATTTTAGGTTTAATGACAATTTATTTGAAAATAGATCGCTGATCACCAAGGTGGCACCAATGTCAAGATAAAGAAGAAAGAGCTTTGCCTGGCTGAAGGAAGCAAGCAGCTCCTTCAGCGTGTTGACGGACATATACGTGAAATATCGCCGAGGAGTGCGAAAGAAGAAGTTAATTATCGACTGCGCAAGTACGATATCGGCAACAAAGTACCAGACGATAGAGAAGGAAAAGTGCTCATGCTAGTTGGAGCCACAGGATCAGGTATGGCACAATGCACTCTGCCCAAAAAGTTTTTGTCGATCTCACGCTGACGGATATGAATGACCATTATTGATATGGTTGTATGGTTTTCGAGTGAAATGGTGTCCGTTGTGCGCTCCATTCTGTTGAACAAACCTCTAGTCTAGGACACCACATATCAATAGCTCGGTCAATAAACCTTTGAGGCAGTGCCTCCCAATTTTCCTTTGTACCATCATGCAGATGTCGTATGAGTAAGATTATTAAATTTCGAATATAACCTTAATGGAGCTTTGTGGCTCCCGCGGGACATTATTTTGTTCGCGGCCCTGCATGGGTTCTGCCCATGTCAGGGTTGGGCCCGCATAGCCCTCCATTGTTTTTCTGGGGGTGTGACCTCCCCCTTCCGGTCACGCCACCTTTCGTTTTTCCGTCTCGTGCGTGGTCCTGTGTCGTCCGTCGGGGGAGTTCGTCCTGGGCAGTCCCTCTAGCCAGCCGTGCCTGCAGCCTTTCTGCTTGTCTGCCGTCGGTCGCCCTGCCTGCTATCTCCGTTGCCGTCTGTCGCTGTGCCTGCGATCTCCCTGCCTGCTTAAGGCCTACTAAAGACTCTCAAGACCTCCTCAAGACTCCAATTAACATATGTGATATTTATTCTTTTCTCTTAATTTAACTTTAATTAAATACATGTTGTCCTGTTGTCCTTGTTGTTTGAACACCGTTTTATTATTTGTCATCGGTCGTCTCCTTAGACGGCTTGTCCTGTCTGTGGAGTGAGGCCAGGACCCTTTCTTTTGCCTCCGATTAACCGCTCGTGCTAAATTGTCTTTCTCTTGTTTTCGGCTTAAAGTTAACTTTAAAGTTCTCTTTTGAGGCCCTCCAGACGACACAGGGATGAAAGGTCATGGATTCGATCCTCTCTTTCTTCCTGGCCTCAAGTTCATATTGATATTTTCGGCAGCATATTTTGTCGTTGGTATTCACAAAATAATTACAGCTTCTATAATATTTAAGCCAGATGGAGCAAATTGGGTATACAACCTCCAATTGTGTCACCCTAACGCCTACCCATTTTAATTAGAATCGACAGCCTACAAAGAGATTCAAGATACACCAAAAATGACAGCTGTGATTTTCTTACTCAGCTCTTAGAAGGCAGAGTAATGCATGTAAATTCATAATTTGGGGGAATAATTTTTCTTCATGAAGTTATTAATCCTAGCCCAAGATCCCGTGCTATCTACTTCAGAAAATGAAAATGGTGCAAATTATGCATCAAAGAACAGTACGAAAGTGGGACAGCGAATAATTATGAATTTTCTGATCAATAATAACATAAAGCAATTGAAATTTATAGACGAGTGCCTGCACTAGAGTATGGCGATGACTGGCTGTCTAGAATGTTCGTATTTGAACATTGTAAAAATCATTCAAAGATAAGTTGAAAGCGTAAATAATGAACTACTTGCTGCAATACCAGTCATTGGGTAACCATTTCATCTCACATGTGCCAGAGGTCAGGTGGTGATCACCTCCAATATTGATGAGCATTTTTATGTGGTACCTGTCATGGCCCCAAGTACATTATTCCACTTGTGCAAAAAGATCTTTGCTCTCGCATTATTAGTTCATGTATGAAGGAGAATGTCTGGTAGGTGATGGAACTCGCCATTACAATGTGATTTTGGCTCTTAGAATTCAATGCATCAACGATCATATGAATGGGTGTACTTTTCCGAACTAAATAATGCCAATTTCATTCAAATGTGAAGGGTTCGAAACAATTTAATTCAGGTTCGTATCAAATGGATTTGAAAATACGGATTTATATTCAAAACACACACTTCAGTAATATTTAAAACAGGAAATCCCATGAGACCTGTAAGAAACCAAAATTGCAATTCAATGAAATAACGTTAGGAAAATATGGAATGCTGATAGCTCATGAGCATTTGTTTCAAGAAACGAACCATTCACACTTATTCATCATGCTTTTGTCATTCCTGGGTGAATTACTCGATAATTTGGTACGTTTTGGAACAATGCATATGACTTTCACGTAATTTTGAACTGATTTGGTTCATTTGAATTTGAAACATTCGATTCATTTTACTGAAATGACAATTACTATATTATTCACTTCCTTTAATTTTCATTTTTTAAATTATATTAATCAACATTCTGAAAATGAAATTGAAAAACCATCTGATTCCCATTTTCTTAGGAAAGAGCACATTCGTCAACGGGCTGGTGAACTACGCATACGGAGTTAAGTGGGAAGATGATTTTCGATACAAGTTGGTCGTCAATGAAGAAAATGAGAATTTTGAAGCTCATAGTCAGACCAACTGGATCTCAGCTTATGTACTACACAAACAAGAAGGAATTTCCCTTCCCTACACCTTGACTGTCATTGATACCCCAGGGTTTGGCGATTCTGAAGGAAAAAAAAAAGATGAAGAGCTGTTAAAACAAATTCGAGAGTTTTTATCTCATGGTGAATATTTCGGGTTGGAAAAGCTTAGTGGAATCGGCTTCGTTGTCCCGGCCCCTGAAGGCAGGCTCACTGATTCACAAAAGTACATATTTCACTGCATGTTATCTGTGTTCGGGAAAAATTTCGAGGACAGGATCTTCGCATTTGCCACATTTGCTGACAACCTGAGACCGCCAGTTCTGAATGCCCTCGTAGATGCCAAAGTTCCTTTCAAGAAAATATTTAAATTCAACAACTCGGTCTTGTTCACCCTATCGAGAGATGATGACACTTCTGATCTTGACCGACTAGCTTGGAAAATGGGCATCCAAAGTTTTACTGAGTTCTTCGAGGAGTTGAAAAAAACTAAACCTGTGAGCCTCCAGGAAGTATTGCAAAACATGGAGAGCATCAGAAAACCTCACGATTCTCAGACATCCGGTTGAAGGTAATATAAGACTTTCCAGGGTGTGATTTCCCTCTCTTTGTGCTTCTACTTGCTCAAATATATTTCTTTATATCGGTACTGCATGGGAATGACGAACCCAGGAGAGCGAGAGCATTGAAGCAAGACTGAAGGCAGTTTCCAGGAGGTTCAAAGTCTTCCTCTTCTGAGAGAGAAAAGAGGTAACAGAAGTCGCAGCTGTGAAAAAGGAAGAAATGACTCTATCATCTGTCTTCAAAGGGTGCTTCCACAAGGACGACACCAATTCAATGCATATTAAATCCGCATATGGTAACAATTATCTATAGTAATTTATCCAGAATGTCAACTCGAACATCACTACATTTTGCAAGATGAACCCATGATTGCATGATCTCAAATATGAGGGAATCCTGATGTATTGAAAATCATTGATTGCAATAACACGTGGATTCAGAAATAACTTTGTTAAAAATACACACGCACATGTAGAGGATCAAATAACTTCTGGAAGTGTGTCTATCCCTCTGATGAACGAGAATAAAGAATGGCATGTTTCTAGCGTCGACCCTGTCGATTGCTGATGAATTCAGCACCCGCACCTGCATAGTTTTTCTTTCGAAAATAGGCATGCTAATAGCATAACCCGGGCAATCATCAATGTAGACTTCTAAAAAGACATTCATTAGAAAAGTAATAGAACAGGTTAGCTCGTGGAGGAATTAGACAGCCTCATCACGACACGTCTTGAGAAAGGCGAGCTGGACAGATTTGCGAAACAACGGCATTGAGCGCTCGTTGATGGACATTAAAACGTTATTTTTTTCTTTGCAGTGGCAAGCGATTACAATCGTAATGTGAGATTTCGAGTTTTGAAACTCATAGGACAAAGCTGCCTTTGGACCGGTCCGATCGGCAATCGAGTTTCAGTTCTAGTGCGGGTCATGCTGCGTGAGCACTTTGCTATGGAAGGCGTTCGGAATAATGATGTTCCTATTGCCAAAATTTGTCCCTATTGCGCTCAAAAATGACTATTTTTTGGACATTTGATTCAGGAAGTATCGCCACCGGTCATAAACTTTCGATTGACTCATGAAAATCTGTTCTTCTGTCTAGGAGTTTCCCGGAATGACACCCGGGTCAGCCACTGATGTATATGGACTCTTACTGACCGTCTTATTATTGGATCTTTAGGAAATCATGGTTTCCTCTGCATTTTCAGTCAGAATTAATGGCAAAATATCAGCATTCACCATGCTCCTCTAAAACACTGCGGCAGACAAATGCGCTTTTCCTCAGCAGCCACTAGGTTTGCTACCTGTACAGGTGCGAGGACCCTGATACGCGCTTTTGAAAAGTGTTAAGTCATATTTTGTTACTGGTTCGTGGACATTCCGTCGATTAAGGCATAAATTCAACGTTAGTTAGTCCCTTAGAGAAGGGAGGACGTGAGATAGGGTTCATGTTAAAAAGAGGCAAGGACCTTTGAAAAACAGTTTTCACATTCCTTGGTATTGTCATTATTTCTAAGTATCCTCTCTCGTCTTCCTAACCACGACGAATAGGCGACTTGACTCGATCACTGACATTAGAAGTAACTAAGCCGGATCATGAAACTTAGTGATCTCATAAATATCTTGAGTGATGCCTAACCAGTTTTATTCTAAATTCGATCATTTATAATTACATGTTTGTATACATCAATCAGGCCATAATTCCTAAAAGCTTTTACGAGTATGAACAATGAGAACGCATAACTATTTTTTTTAGAATAGAATGCAGAGAATATTTTAGGGAAAAAACTATGAAGTGACCTTTTTCGCTGATAATACAACTCTAAATTCACGACAATGGATTTGAATACATTGGTCCACATGATTAGACTATGTAAATTGATTCATTCTGGATATAAGCAGCATGCATCAGTACCCCTTTTTCCGTTTCCACCAAATAGGGGCACCGGCATTGCATGTCCCAGCATAAGCATTACATGTTGAAAATGTAGTAATTTCAATCTTCGCAAGAACAACTTTTAGGCATTATTCTTCAGCACTTGATGGTTTTGGCACGGACGATCTCCTACTTTTTGCGTTCCTCGCGTAGAAAAGTCATCCATTTTTTGAAGCGATGGCGTTTTCTGGATTCACTTTCAATGTGGTCTGAGTTAAAGCACGAAATATCGAAACCATCCTCTTCGAACTCTTTCATATATGCCTCAAAAGGATCAAAGTCTGCCTTGAGGACCTCCGTCAATCTTGCTGCTTCACGAGCATCAATAAGGTATTTGATTCTCTCCGCATGACCCGGCCGGGCATCAGACCGCTCTGTCTGGATTAAAAGGTCGATGTAATCAACGAAACACAAGTGACAAGGCTTCAGTGCAATTTCAACAAGTCTCTGCATGCATGAGTGTGCTTCCTTTATCAGCCCCAGGATTGCAGCCCTCTCCCGATTGAAATCCTTTATTATCTCTTTCATAATCCCTTCAGAACCCAGCCTTTTCAGAGTTTGTTCATATTTGTTCTTTAAATTAACAGCCGTCTTTGTTTCATTTTCCTCGTATGAAATGAATCGATATGGTTTCTTCACATGGTCGTTTGCTGGGCATTTCTTGGGACATACTTTACAAACTTTGAGTGGAGGTTCCATTGCATCGCAATATTCTTCAAATTTATAGCAGGGGTAGTGACAAGTCAATTGGCATATGCTGCAGTTCGTTGCATTTTCACCTGAGCTCAGTTTCAACCGTTTTTGCCTTCGGGTTTTCACAGTGTAGGTGAAGTTCTCATCATCTGCCAAGTCTTTCCCATGCATCTTGATTATTGCATGTACTTCCCTCAGTTTTTCTAGTCGTCCCACAGCTGCAAAGGAAAGAAACGTTCAATAACAAGAGAGGTCTTAGTCTGTAAAATACATGTCATCGAAATTTAATTTCTTACCAGCTTCAAATTGGTATTGAACTCCCTGTATTGCTGCTTCCAAGCGGCGCCTTTCCCTGAGTACTTCATTCGTGAGGGTCAGGCTCACAGCTTTTGTCTGTCGAAAATCTTGAAAGAAACATTGGAAATTACTTATGCTCCTTTCCCAAAGTAATTTTTCAAATATCTCGTGTATCCCTCCTGGTTCGACGAACAATGCGGAGTTGCTGAACTTGAAATATTTATGAAATGGAATGCGTGCTTCCCTCAGGGCACTTAATACAATTGGTTCCTCGTGGTCAGCAAATGTCGTCAACACGAAAATACTGTCCATCATATCAATCCCGAACAGTGACAATATACAGTCAAAGATGTACTTTTGTGTTACAGTGAGCCTCGCTTGGGAGGCTGGGATTACAAACCCGACTCCATCAAGTTGATCCACTCCGAAGTATCCTCCATGTGAGAAGAACTCCTTGATCTGATTTCTCAACTCCTCATCCTTCTTCAAGCCACCTGTGTCTCCAAATCCAGGGGTGTCGATCACTGTCAGAGTGTAGGGAATTATGTTTTCTGGCTGCTTGTGGAGGACGTAGGCAGAGATCCCCTCAGTCTGGCTGAAGGCTTGGTTCTTTCGGTGCGACAGAACTTCTTCTTCGTTGATCAGCCTGTAGCGGATAGATTCGCTCCAATCAGCTCCAAATGCGTAATTAACAATCCCATTGATGAGGGTAGTCTTTCCTGGAAAGGGAATTATTCAATGCTCCTAACTTCAGTAGATGCAAATTCAGCCTCGAACACCGGTTACTTTACCTGAACCTGTGGCGCCGACGAGCATGAGCGCCTTCTCGACTCCGTCATATGGTCTCTTCTCACCGACCTCATACTTGGCCAATCGATTCACACTATCATATACTTTTCCACTAAACGGAAGTTGATATATGAGATTGTCAACCTTCTTGCACTTTAACGTAATCTTCTGAGCCAGTGACACCCTCTCCTCCACTCTCCGAGTTTCCTTATCACTCTGCCTTTTCTGTGCGTCCATCTGAATCCAAAAGAGTGAAATATACACGTTGGAATAATTTTGGCGTAGGGCTGGACTAAGTAGTGCCATATTGTTCATGGAAGATAAGGTACTAAGGGAAGATGACAATTGGCCCCTTAGAACATAGGCTCACATGTTCTGCTTGCAACAAGGCCGCTTGTGGCAAATGTTCAGACAAGATAATCACTTGCACTGACCGCCTGTCAAAATTGTAAGAGTTAGTTTTACTTTTCACTTTCACGGAAAAATGACATAAACATGCTGTATTTTGTATTGATGTCTGATTGCCTGATGATTTTTGTATTGGTTCCAAAATAAAAAAGAAACTAATAGTGTCGATAGTCGTTAGTCGATAGTCGATATCTGCCTCTGAGAAGCACGCCAGATTTAGCGGTAGCGGTCAAAATGACCGCTAGCGACCCTTCTAGATATGGGGGTGGGTCCGGCCTTTCTAGTGTTAAAGTAATAAGAGAATATGAAAATCGACCCTCTAGAATTAAATCCTGAATTAAAATTATTGTAGAGGACCTCAAGGGAGGGCCTTGGAGCCACTTGTTGGCACTCTCAGGTCAAGCACCTGACCGTGGCAAATGGTCAAAGGTTACGATTTGCATGCCTCTCTTTGAAAATATGCATCTCCCCAACCCTTTATTGCAGAAACGTCCTATTTGCGCCATTTTCCTCCTCACAGAACATGTTAAATGATGAGCCCAATAACGTGCTCATTTCTCTGCTCCCCGAGACGCCGTGGCGCTATTTGTAAAAATTCGCGTTTCGCGAATTCGCTTCTTTCCTCACTCATTCTCCGAAGAAACATTGCATCGTGAAAAGCATGCTCCAACTATTAGAGACCGTCTCCATTCGTCTTCGTGTGAAAGGGCGCGATGATTCAACGAACCGTTCTCCCAGGAAGTTGAAAGATATACCTGAAAAGCTCTTATATGGAAACCCTCATTTCCAGAGAAGTAGAAGAGCACATGAGATAGTTGACATGCCGGAAAATTTCACACTTGGGTTCAGTAAAATCCCTAAGGATCGGAGGGGAATGAACAGATTCGCTTGAAAATGGACCAGAAGCTGCTAAAGAGGCTTCTACACAATTATATTCCAGGAAATTTTTAATTTCGCTCTCTTTCTCGAGAAAGGATCATGGATGCGAGGTACTATGCAAAAATGGGGAGATTTTGAGATACATCTCTTCGAACTTCCTGGGAAAATGGTTCGTTGAATCATCGCGCCCTTTGACACGAATACAAAGGGGGATGGTCTCTAAATGCCAGAGCATTCTTTCCCGATGCAATGTATCTTTGGAGAATGAGCGAGAAATGAAGCGAATTCGCGAAACGCAAATTTTCACAAATAGCGCCACGGAGTCTGGGGGGGGGGCAGAGAAATGAGTACATGTTTCGGCTCATTAACTTGTTCTGTGGCGAGGAAAATGGCGCAAATAGGATGTTTCTGCGATAAAGGGTTGGGGAGATGCAGATTTTCAAAGAAAGGCATGCAAATCGTAACTTTTGACTATTTGCCACGGTCAGGTGCTTCACCTGAAAGTGCCAAAAAGTGGCTCCAAGGCCCTCCCTTGGTGTCCTCTACAATAATTTTAAGTCAGTATTTTATTCTAGGGGGTCGATTTTCATATTCCCTTAGTACTTTAAGTCGCTGCCACCAGTTCCATGCACACCGGAGGACTTTAAAAAATCTTCATTTTCGTGAGAAAGAATGACAAGTTATATTGCTTTTTTACTAAATGACAATGTGAATATGAGAAGGTTCCTTGATGGGGTTTCTTTTCTCCTATTGAAACGAGGTGGGCAAGCCCAGTCCAGTAGTGGGCCTCCTTTCAGTTAAGGAAACCTTCATTTTTCACCTAATTGAACAAAATGTTATCTCTTTCAGGTCTTCGGCCATCAAAAACTTCATTTCTCATTTATATTTGGTAAGCAAAGGTAAACGGTGCTCATAAAACGATGATGGAGGATGGAGGGCTGTGCGTGATTGGATGCATCCGCCACGAATGTTGCTAGGTAACTGGCAGCTCCGGTTGCTGACACGGCGCCATTCCCAAAGCCTGAGTCGTACGTGTAAGGGCATTGTGAAGTACATCCTGAAGGGCTCACGGGGACCCATGATTTCCCCTCCATGACCAAATTTCATATTCAAAATTTGCAATTTTAATGCCAATTTTGGTGCAAATTCGCCACAAAACAAACTCAGCCGGTATCTTGTTCATATCTACCAGCTAGTCGATTTGTGCATTGATCAGACAAATGTTTTATAGCCATTGTCAGACAATCAAAGTGTAACACAAGGACGAACAGGACGGGCACATAAGTGTTCTCCATATGTCATAATTGGGCCTTCCAGGAAAGGAGGCCCACTAAAAAGCAAATTGATTGAAAGAAGGGAAGAAGATTTAAGAGAAGAGCAGAGTAAACTCCCGCTTTTAAATGTGTCCTCCCTTCCTCCCATTTAATAAGATTTTGGTATAATTCCTTCATATATTGCCCGATCAAGTGACCTTTAAACTTCCTAGATTGCATCCCAAATGGAGTTTTCTTGTCAAGTTTCATAGTTGACATTCTACATTGTGAGAGTTTGGGAATAGTTTTATGCAATGGCCACCGTTGAAATCTAGGTTTTGGGTTTCTTTTCTCTGACTATTCATTCCACACCCCTGAAACTTTTTATGGCACATTATTACTATATTATCATATCAAATACATGAAGGAGCTCTCAACTCAGGTTATGCTTTTTAGAGATAATGAATATTTTCAAATTAACAGTAAAAATGAAAGAAATACATGTTTAAAAGAAGAAATTCATATTGTTTCAATAACTATAATCATCACGTAAACGGGGCTCGATTGCGTTAAAAGTATTTAAAAAATCATATTTTTAAGTTGCTATTGCTACGTTAGCATATAACACTGTTGTCAAACTTGATTCTGTTGGGGGCCGGATGTAACATGTCAGGGATGGTGAGAGGCCCTATTATCAAGTCATACAATATTTTATTTATGCGAGCAAACATTTCATGGGCCGAATTTTTCCGAAGCCACCCAAGCAAGATAAATTTCCAAACAAGATTTACTGGTGGGCCAGATCTGACCATTCCAACCCAGTTTCCCCCCCCCCCCCCCCCCCCGACCTAGAATTAGTTTACTTTCCTCCATGTGTGTCTCCTGGGAAATAATAGCATGCAACTTTATTTTCTCAAATATTTTGCCCAAACATTACGTGAATGAAGGAAAATAAGGGACGACAACACAGCAAATCTTTGGAGAATGACATTTGAATAAATTTTGAGCTTACATAGGAAAGGCAAAATGCAAATGTACCTTGGTACTTCCTTTTCACCAATTTCTTTCACCTTTTGAGGATTTCCGCACAAGGTTCAAGGTTCAAGGTAGTTAGTGACATCAATAGTTGATTACACCCATTTCGATATCACATATCAAGGTCGAGCGTTCCTTAATTTTAGGGTAGTCCTAATCCTCTTAAAGCTAAATATATGTTTATATTTTTTAGCGATCCAATTTGCTTACTCCTTAGTCCCTATCTTCAATATTGTCCTCCACCTTTACTCATGTCCATAAAAGCATCCAGCTTCTTAAAAATAGTCGCATAACAGGCAGCCACTACTTCGTCATCTAACGTATTCCAGGCGTTCACCACTCTGCAAATAAAGAATTCCCGTCTCGACCTGAGCCTCACCTGCGGTTTGCGCAGCCTTTAGTTTATTGAGCAGTTTGCCATTTAGTTGATTAGCTCTCGTTCTCTTGCTTCCATCGAACAGGAAAAACCTACAACACTCGACTTTATCCATTCCTTTATCTTGAAAGCCTGGATGAGATCACCCCTCCTTAACCTTCGTTCGAGCGAGTACAACCCCAGCACTTCTAAACGCTTCTCGTACGGAAGTCCCCTAACCTCCTTAATCATTATTGTAGCCCTCCTCTGTACCCCATCGAGCGCCAACAAATCGCCCTTATTTGTAGGCCTCCAAAACTGAATGCAATATTCCAACTGGGGTCTTATCAGCGCCGCATACAACCGAAGAACAACGCGCGAAGTCCTACTTGTAACCGAACGACGAATCGAATACTTTAATTCGAAGAGGTCAAAAGTTGTGGTGGCGGTGGTCGTAGCCGTCATCCCTAACGCGCGGACCTATGATGCTATACCATTCTGGGTCATTGGCCGGGCCACCCGCGGTCTAAAGGGCCACCCCTACAAGGCTTTGCCTTTCTAGGCCATCTTATATTTTAATTCAAAGAGCCAGCGAGGCCTCAAGAATATGTAATTTTAGGCCATAGGCAAGGGCATCCACTGCTCAAAGCGCCAGGTCCATTGGGCTATGCCAGTCTGAGCCATAGGCTGTGACTCACCTTATTTCCATAGGCTTCATCGTAAGCTGTCAATCAAAGGGTGCTACTAACTGAATTCGTGTCACGTCCCATGCAATATTTTTCTGTTTGCGTTTTACGTAATGGCCGATTAATTTGTGTTCTCATGATTCATGAAGTCAAAATAAGCACGTACGTTCTTTGTTTCATTTGTCGTGCAAACGGGTCGCTAAACCATCAACATGGTGATTTTGGGAGGTGAGGTTGAACGCGAAGAAAAAATGTTGAAGAAGGTCCCACAGGACGGCGATGAGGCAGTCGCTGCAGATAATAGCGATTGGTGCTGGAGCGGAAATAACGTTTGCCACTGCATTTGCGGTGCGAGGTCCCTAAATCGGTGCTTTAGGAGATGCCAGCCGCAATGGCTAGAATGAGTGATTGATAGCATGCAGTTGTACGTAGGGAGCGTAGGGCCGCTCAGACCGCTGAAGAGCAAGAGGCAGCGAATGCTGAGCTCAGGAATAAGAGAGCCGTGCAGCCTGCTGAGCAACTTGAAGCAATGAACGCAGCATTCAGGTGTCGAAAGCCTGTTAATTTAAGCCGAACCTCCTGCTTGCCGGTCAGGCAAGCATTGCTACATTGCATGTGCTACCATTACACCACGGAATTCAGGATGTCATCACTCCATGTCATCTCAATAATTACAGTCGTTTGTCACAGCGAACACTGTCAGGCTGTACATTTTGCTGTAGAGAGGGGACATTTGTTTAACATTGCTACCACAACGAAAAAATGCTCCTGCTACAACTGAACTTTTTCAGATCCTTACTCACTGCTCACTGTTTTGCTCACTGATGCTAATGTGTCGCAAGGCATCTTCAGGAATTATTCGTTAGTATTGTGCCGCATATGTGCTAACTTCCTTCTGGGCTAAAGTCGAACAAGTTCCTGGAAATGGCCCATACTATTTCAGAATCAGTAGTATCTATACTATAAGCTAATGCTAATAGCCCTATGAACTATTCTGTGTTGCAAGAGTATTGAATGTGCTAGGACAACGAAATCAGCAAAGTCGTCTTGAGTCTCATGAAAACCTGCTAAACCGATGCATTCACCATGGCGTTTGTGGCAATGTGCTCGAATATCATGATGAATGTGTTTAGGAGCAAAAGCTCCCTGTGTACCGTAAGCTACATGTGTATAAATCTAATGAAGCGGTTCAGTTCCGAATGGGCAATGCGATGAACAGAGGGTGCCAAGCAGACCTTATGCTCACAATGGATTATTCAAATTTCCACCAATTAGACGGCCAGCGTAGCGGCCGCAGGCCGCTAGTGAAATCTAGAATCCTGTTGCATTTGGCTACCGTCGTTTGTGCGTGGGAGGAAAACTTGAGGTCATTCCTCCTCCTAAATCTCTTCGTTTACCTCCCCCAGTTTAACCTCTCCGAGCGTGTCTGGAGACCTACCGTTGTTTCGACCGACGTGGAGAACTTTACACTTACTTTTATAAAACCTCATGAGTCATTTCTTGCTCCACTCATCCAAAATACTTAAATTTCGCTTGGCTCTGGCCCTATCCGCCTAACCCCTTACTGTAAAACCTATCTTGGTGTCGCCGGTAAATTGACTTATCTAACCCGCTACGCCGAGATCCAAATATGTTATATAGACCAAAAATAGAAGCGGTCGAAGGACCGAGCCTTGAGGGAAACCGCTTGCGACTCCGACCTCCTTCGACGCTTCTCCCTATATCATCACTCGTTGCACTCTTCCTGTCAACCAGCTAATGATCCACTCATTCTTCCTACCCTGGATCCCGATCTTATCTCCAATGTGTTCAATCCTTGCACCGGGAAACCGACTGAATGAAACCTGAGTTCCTGAATCTTTTCCATCGTTCCCTCAAGACGCCTGACGTTCGAGTCACCGACGATTACAAGGGCCCGAGTTATCCCTCTCCCTTTCAACACGTTCTGAGCTCGTCCTGTCGACCTCACACCTTCTCTCACCCCGCCCTCTGTTCCCTCATCCAATATGACCTCCCTCAACCCGAGCAACTTGTATTCGGTCTTGAAGAGTACCTCCTAGGATTGCTTAACCTTCGCCCCCGTTACGACATGAGTACAATTACTAGCCACCTCGGAGTCGGCACTCCACACGCTGTCAAAGGACGAAAGGGCCATCCTCCCAGTAAAGTTCGGAAGGCTGGGGAACCCCCGGAGTGCCTCCTCCACCCTAACTAGCCTCGCCACTAAATCATCCCTCTGTATCTCGCCCACCTCCTTCCTGATCTCTCTTATCTCCTCTTCCACGCTAATTACCCTTCCCAATGGCTCTCCTAGTCGCTCCTCCAAGCTACAAATTCTGCATACATGGCTTACCTCTCGCTCACTAGTCCCACCAACCCATTCCCCGCACCGAACACATATATACACATCCTAGGCATTTTACTTAATGTTATTGATCCCTGTTGACACTTCTACTGCTTCAGACTTGTACTTTGCAGTATACACTAGTCGTAACCTGGTAAGACCGTCCTGGTCCTTGTAGTAAAAGGAACACTACGAGTAATGTGATAATAATTAAAGTAATTAAGCTGGTTGATACTGATCTAATGTGAAGTTGGAGGTAGCTATCAGAAAGCTTATGAATACTGCTACAAAGTAGCCAAATAACAACTAACTCACGACTTTGCTGACAGAACCTCGAGAGTATCCTCCAACTTGTCCTCACGCTACGAACGCTCGACCAAGACTGATTCACCATAAATATGTACTAACTAAATTTCTGAAAATCTCATGATTTGCCTACACATTTTGAAAATACTCAATTTGTGGTTTTATTTATGTAAAATGTACACAGAACATAATGATTATTTTTTAATTTCGTATTGCTAGTTTCAAGTGATCATGAAAGAGCTAGAACATCATAGAAGTATTAATAATTTCGACGTATAGTATAAATAGGCGTGCATATTCAACTTTCGATCTAGCCTCTCTAATCATATGGAATCCATTAATAGTGGCAGCATTAGGTGCCTTATAGATGTGATTGAGACCATGACTGATCTCTCGCAAAAACATTGATCTTGAGAAAACGTCTACATGCGGCTTAATTATGTTTCGCCCTTCTTGGTTCTGTAAATGGTCTTCCGCTTGAAATAACCGATGAAGCACCGATGTGCGGCAAAAATATCAGGATTAGAATGAAGAAGAAATGAGAAAGCTTGAAAGCGTCAGTATGATGGACAAAGTGTTAGATAAAATCATTAACACTACCTGATCCATGTTGCCATTCTCTTTTGCCCCTTTCACATTTTAGGTATTATTTTTCTGGACGTTTCAGTGAAGTGCGTAACGCAGAATTTTACATTCACAACTTGGAAGAACGCGACGGCACAATAAATATTGCTTTGGGTTCAAGGCGGGAGAGTCCGATAATGAGGACCTTATGGACTAAATTTAGGCAATACCCAGAGATTCTTTACATATTGAACTGCATATGAATGCAAGTTTTATGCAACTGGATTTTATGTTCCTATATGTACTAATGCCAATTAAGGGAATCATCCCACAATTGAACATACAGACGAAAACCAGAACTTGAGATATTATATGAAAATCCTTAACACCAAGTATATTTGCATAATGGTTAATTAGCTTTGGTGAAGTGAATTATTATTTCTCATATCTGAAGAAATCTACATCCTGAGAATAGTTTCCTTTTTGGAAATGGTTACGCACAATGTCTCAATTAGTGATTAATTGCCCATTATGTTATCGATACCCGTTAGAAGAGTTCCAATTCTCACCAATACGTTACTGGACATGAATTTAGATGTATGAGTGCTACAATAACTAAATGAGAAAGGAAAAAACGAGAGCCTGAAATGTCTTAAGTGCAGATTGCTATAGATATGAATGAGAATTGCAAGTAAACATATCATGAACTACTTACTTTGAGACCAAATTACCACGTATCATGTAGGCAAGTGGCTTGGGCTGGTCTTATAATGATATGATTAAGTGTCTCAAGCCCTCGGTAATATCTCGTTGGCAAATTATTTGGCCAATTTTGACTTATACATTGGTATGCATTGATGAATGATGCCATGCTAAATGCAGTCATCAACGCATGAAATTCTTGCTAAATTTATCGAGAACTGCCCAGTAAATAAATATATGTTGCAATTTTTTAAAATATTGCACTCACATTTGCATCTCCATGTTCCTCTTTTGCTAAAATGGTTGGGAATCGTACGTGCCTGGGAGCAGGCATAGGCTTGCCCCCGCCCGTTTTTGACCCCAAATCCTGGCATTGTGCATCTCCTGATATTCCAGGCCCATTTTTTCCATCATGACGCAATGTCGGGTCGACTGATTCATCCTCATGTCCTTCCAATATATGTTGGGCGTCCTTCAGGCACACCTGCCATAATGAGGACAATATGAATGTATTAATAAGTAACATTTCCAATGTACAAGCCCGAAAGCCGAAAAAAGCTGCACCGTGGTATCCTTTTGAGGAATAATGCAAAATTTGCCATATGTTATTGAAACTCATTCAACTTAACTAATTATAGCCAATTCATTGTTTTCGTGCATAGGCGACAAGAACCAACGATCTCTCGTGTTCGGTAAAGCTGCTTAATTATATTCATGATTAGGACAGATATGTCAACAAGACGTGGGAAGGGATTAGACCCAGATCTGGGTTTAAAGAGGAAGGGGAAATAATAATGAATCCCCAACCCATGTTCAAAGCCTTGTCTCATAAAAAATATAAGACAAGGGATTATAATAAATATAACAACGGTGGAATGTGCAGAAGCGGCTTCAAAGCGTAAGTTTGCATTCACTCAATTCATTGGCTGTGAATGTTCTAATAGGATTCGGGAAATATATCCCCTATACGAAAGGCCTCATCGTTCGCTTCTTCATTTACCGGCTCCCCAAAATTGCCGAATTTCACGATCATCGGATCATGGACTTCGGTAATATAAGTGTCTGTTGTTTGGACATCGGTTATGAATGTCTAATAACTGGTGCATGCACCCACAGAAAAAAGGACTAATTGAAAACATGGATCAAGCAACCCTGGCTCCTAGGACTCCTCCCACGCCTGAATAAATAATCGGGTGTCACAACCATGTGAGTGGCTTGTTAATGCCTTTTATTTCGGCTCTCAGGTGATTTTATCTGTATTCCTTTGTAGAGAAAACATTTACGAACGCAGACGGTGAATGGACTATATTATGAAAATTAATGTCTTAATTAGAGAAAAAATTACCGGTAAGGTAAGGGCTATTACTTATCGGTAATTTACAAGTAATTTACCGGTAATTACCGGTATTTATACCGGTATACTTGGGAGGTAGAAGGAACACTTTGAAGAGCTCTTAAACCCACCAACAGTGGACACTGACCTACCCGACCTGGAGCCTCTCAGCGCGGAGACTAGTTTCACCATGGAGGAAGTTCTGCAGGCCATTGCTAGCCTGAAGAATGGGAAAGTCGCGGTGAGGATACTTCTCTTTGCCGACGATGCCGTTCTCTTGACCCGCTCTCGACAGGAGCTCCAGAGCGTGCTCGATCGGTTCGAATCCGAATGCACTGCGGCCGGAATGAAACCGAGCGTCTCCAAGATACAGGTAGGTCATGGTCCTCTCGAGAAATCCTGCTCGGTGCACCCTGCATGTCAGTGGGGTCCCGCTGGAACAGGTGGAGAAGTTCAGGTATCTCAGGGTCTGGTCGTCGAGTGACGGGCGATACGGAAACGAGATCGACAACCGCATCTCCAAGGCTTCTGTAGTTCTGTGGGAACTTTGGCGAACCGTGTTTTCTAGGTCGGAAGTTTCTCGGGAAGCAAAACTCTCGGTTTTTAAGAGTGTTTATCTCCCCGCCCTCACCTATGGTCATGAACTTTGGGTAATGACAGAAAGCACCAGATCGCGAATACAATTTGCCGAAATGAGGTTCTTGCGTCGAGTGGCTGGCGTAGCGCGTCGTGATCGGATGTGAAACTCTGCCATCCGCGAGAGTCTCCACGTCAAACAGCTACTTCTCCGGATCGAGAGGTCTCAGGCCAGGCGGTTTGGTCACGTCTGCACCATGCCCCCCTGAAAGGCTCCCAAGGGGAGTCTTCCAGGCCTAGATGACCGGCAAAAGACCTGTCGGTAGGCCTCGTCCAAGGTGGAGTGATTACGTCGCTCGGCTTTGTCACGAGAGGCTCGGCATCCCACCAGCTGAGCTTGAGCCAGTTGCCCAGGATCGAGATCATTAGATGACGCTCCTGGGAATGCTCGAACCACGACCCCATTAAGTTGGGAAAAGCGGGCAAGAAAATGTATGCATGTATGTATGTAAATAATAAAAACACCATGAATACTTCATGAGAAATGGAGACTTCCGACAATTTTTCCAATGTAAAATACTCGCCTTATAAATAAATCGGGCGAGTCGTAGATAATATCAACATGAGCTAACTTTTTGAGCGCGTTCTTCTCTGAAGCTACAAAATACCTGTATATTTATTGATACATTCGGAAGACACATGGTAAGTCTTAGTGCATTCAAAATTCCTGAACTTGTGTAATGCCCTCAAAGTATTAGGACAGTCATAAATTGTATCAACCTTTACACAACGGATATCCAAGTAAAACAAAACATTCCAGCAACATTTTAAGACTGTTTATTAATGTTGCTTCAATGAGTAAATGTCCAAAACGTCAACGTTGCTCGAATGTTGCAAAGGAACATTGCATTGACGTTGCCGATTTTTACATATAAGTTTTCTTATGTTGCAGTAACGTTTCAGGATTGTTCAAGGCAAGTTGCTGCAATTTCGATGGAGAATTTAGCCTCACTGGGACCTAATCTGGACTTATGTTGGCATGTATACCCGGAAAAGCATGATCTTCGTTGGCCGTGAGCTGGAGCGCAAAATCATGCCAATATTTATTTATTTAATTCATCATTTCGTACGACATGCTTGAATTGCTTTCCCAGTCACTGAGGCGAAGTTCCCATTAACAAGACGAGCCTGTGCTGGCGCAACCACTACCCATGCATTGTACAATACCTGTACCATGGATGGGAGATGTAATATATTATTGGAGTCTATCTTCCCCTTGATGTGCTACATAGCATATTTCAGGGAATGGTTGACCAATTAAGTTCTATAGAGGGTCCATTCATCTCATCTCATTCCTTTCTGTGGGTTAGGAAACGAAGAATTCAAGTCGCTGACTACCATCTGTGGTGATAGTCTGTTTTACTATCAACTTCTATCGTCATTTTCTTAAATTCCTGTGGAATAAAATCAAACTTTTTTTAAAGGGTTCCTTTATGGAATATTAACTTTTTGCCTTTGGCTTCAAGAATCTGTCCAGAATATGAGGATAACAAATTATGAAGGGTCGGTGTTCATTGAGTCCTACCATGAGACAAGACGAGCCATGTGGCAAGGAAGTAAATACATATGCGAGGGGCAATTCGAGGGAGAAGGAGATGGGCACTTTGGTGCACTGTTAAAGAAGCAAGACCCAACGCCTTCATCTAGTGACATGGAGGAGAACATTAAAATTCCTTAAAACTTATAAGTGCATATTGTATCAGAATGCATCCGCTGTTTTCCACGTCAGCAGTGTCAACATTCCTTCTATATTAAAAACAAATTTTGCTATAACATTCGTAGAAGTGACTCAGAAACTTTTCAAGTGCTCCAAAACGAAAATGTTGAAAGCAATATTTCATCAACGTTGTTGATCAACTCGAAACGTAGAGCAAAATTGGTAAAATTTTGGAAACTTCAATATGATGTGTTATTTTGGTTGTCCTCAGTGAATACGATTTTATGATGAGAACGTCATCAAAATAATTCCCGCAGCACAGGCAACATTCGGAGTAATCACAAGCTACTTATCTCATTTCCAAATGCGTTTGAAGTTGTGTATGTGTGTCTTGTACATCCCTCGCATTCTACAATATAACCCTTTCGAGCATGAGGTCTACTGTAGTGGACGGCAAAATTGTTGCCGATGATGATGGTTTCTCAGTTATGGTACACATATCTCGAAATGTTTGGTACAAGCAGTCAATGGCACATAATCTGTTCAGTGTTGTTTCCTAGGCGTGGGAAATTGGACTACAACAGCAGAATACCATCCAAAATGTTGAACAAAAAATTCATAGTTTTGTTTTTCCTTATAAATGCATGCACGAAACGGATAAAATGATGTCAAAACATACGTCATCCCTCCATGCTCTTCATGTAGTTCAAAGGGAATACCCAACATACAAATGCAAGGAAATTCAATAATAATAGCCCTCAGTGTTTAAGACGGCATTCTCCTTTTCCGTCGTACTTTACCACTATACCCTTTGTAATGCAGAAGAAAAAGCAGTACTGCGCAATTTTTTTCTAACCACAAATTACAATTTTTTGTCCATGCGGCCTACAATAGAACAACTACCTCAATGCATTGGCCTGTGAGATCAGCCTGTGGAATCTTCCAGATTTCACTAACCTTGTTTTCTTCTTCTTTTTCTGAAAGGAACTTCTTTCTTTCTTCTTCCAGCAGAACCTCCCTATCACGACTCAATTCCACCAATCTGCCAAATAAATGGGTCTCGATAATGCAAGATTTCTCAGCACTCTATTGTCTAACAGAATTACTGTATAGGAGGGTTGTTTCAAAAGTTTTGCAACTTCAATACTTCCAGAAACTCAGTTTATTCCAAACTTCTAGCACTTCGTGAAGTATATTCCATCAGTAGATATACCTAGTTTTAAATATTATTCCTTTCAGTGGCTATTTAATTGTTTGGGGAGCCAGAATTCACTAGGAGTTTAATCTGGAGAATTACCTGAGAGAGACAACATCTGAACCCCAGACTTATCAAATAACTTTTTTCTTCTGGTGGTTTAATTTCCAGGATTATTTTTTGGATAAATACATTCATACAATACAATACAATACATACAATAAAATACATTCATGATGACATCAACTTCATTACTGAGGGACATCATGTTCCTCGTTTTAATTAACTTTCCTTCGTGCTTCTCCTGCAATTACATTCGTTTCTCCTGATTCCCAAGTATTTCCCTTTTCCAAACATAATATGAAAAGCAGTGATAGATCGACCACGCTATTAGTTACAGGCCATGCATGAAAAGTGGTAGTATCATGGAGCATACCGGTTTAGTACACTCTCTATGCACTGGTAGCCCTCTTCCTCCGTCTCATTTGCGTTATTCAACTTCTTGTTACTAATGTCCGATGGCTGAAACACAATCCATTCCAAAGAAAATTTGTCATATAATGGAAAACATCATGTCCCTCAAGCACAAAGCTGCGAGTATGATTTTAATACATGGTTCGGCTGAGTTTGAAACTGCTTCCCCTCATTCATCTCAGGTGCATTGCTGCCAAACGCTTCGAATAAGGATGCCACGTAAATCATGATGGATTTATCGTCGGGTTTTTGGGTGTCCACGTCCTCGGCATCCAAGAGACGAGGGATGCCAAGCTTGTGCTCAGCAACATCGAACGCATTGTTTAGATTGTCGATGTGTCGCTCAGGGATCAACTGCGCATAATCGAATAGGTCTGTCTGGTGAGAATGAATGAGGGCATTGAATCCCATCCCATTTCTCCAGGAGCCTAGTGGAAAAAAATAGTAACCTTTGAAACTGTGTGTAATCATATAAATGAATCACAATTACCGAAACCATCCCTAAAAAGTATACAGACACGAACGCCCATTGAGCATTCTTGAAACTACTAATTTTGGGAAGCCATTCCTTTATTTGTAACTAGCGGAGCCCCGCACTAATTGCGGGAAATTATATTGCAGCATTTTCAATAGTTTACCACAAATCTTTAATATCCAGAAGGTTTATGGTCTAAAGGAAAATATATTTTGAACTCAACCATATAAAAGTAGCTATAGAAATTTTGTCTCTTGGTTTTCATTGAAGAACACTAAACATTTGTATAAACTTAGATATTGTATTTCAAAAATGCGTACAGTACAGTATTTTCGATTCAAAACTTATCGGATCACGACATTCAGTGTATAAGTGCCATCGTTGCCTGGGTATCGGCTTTATTGTGGTCCAGGCTCTTTACATTGACGCTTTGCAAATGCCACACACTTGATGAGGCTAAATACTGTATTACAGTCCATGGAAAAATAAAGGCTCCGGAAGGTCACCCTATGATCTTGAGAGGCATCGTCGGGCCTTGCTTACCCTTTTGGTTTCTGATAACCATGGCAATTATCCCGGGCTTTATAGTGAGAGGAGATGATAGATTCATGGGGAGGTAGCCATACTGGAGTGATGCTGTTGATGAAAACTCATTGGACAATAATTTTGCTATTCCTTATCCGAGACCACACCTCGGCCCTATAATAGGTCTTCTCTCATGCTCAATTTCGTAATTTATTTTTAGTTTTTGTTGAACAGTGATTGATTTAGTCATACAAACTGACCCGACCCGACCCGGCCCACGGGTCGTTTAGGGTCGAAATGGTCAAGGTCCATCTTCAGGTTGAACAGGGTGGAATTTTAACATTACATGTTATATATTTCTGGTCTGAGACCATAGAAACTACGTATCATGACTGGAATCTTATTTATGCTTGTAACCTGCGAGAAAGGAAATAGTAAATTGTTTGATCATAATGGATGTATGAAATTCAGACGGGCATGGGACAGTTAGTGCCTTCTAAGGATCCTTCTCTTCCAAGAAGCGTTCTCCTGTCAGTTGACTTATCGACGACCTCCTGTTTTTTGCAAAATAATTTGGAATGAGGAAATACGCAGAAAAGCTGGTGAAAGCTTTTACGGTTGGGTGTGGGCCGTGAAATTGGGTTGGAATTTGTGTGTCGGATCGGGTGCAGGCTATGACAAAAATTCGGCCCATCGAGTATCGGGAAATTAGCCAGTGCTGGGCTCAACAGGGGGTAGCATCGTGGTGGAAAATTTAATAGTTTATTATGTTGTTCTGTTACCTCGTCGCTCGCGACATCCAGTTAATTTAAGTGTCATGACATTAATTCAGATCCGATTCAAAAAGGAAATTGCTTGAGGGATTACGTGGGTTAGGCCATAGCCTAATACTCAAACCTAGGCTCTTTTGGCCTGTAACAATGCCGCTTTATAGTCCCGTCCGGTGTTGCATTCCATCGAGTGAAGAAATAATTACAAATGTTTAGTGTATAATACAGTCATCGTTTTCGCCGTTGCAGGAATCGGCGGTTAGAGCCCCTCACGGCTTTGGCCCGGCACGAACGCCCCGACCGTCTAAGGCCGAACATTCCACGATTCTTCTTCCGGTCGGGTAGGGTCGAGCCGAATTTTTGTAGGAATTCGAGTTTCGGGTCAGTGCTGGCCATGATTGTATCTGGCCTATCGGCTCGGGTAACGGGAAATCGGCCCGCAAGGCAACACTTAGTGAATGTTACCACCCAGTACAATAACTTTCCCATAGAATCGGTTATCGTCCATCGAGTCTCGCAACGCCCGTTTCATCGTTGCCAACGCTTCTGCGGGCCCCATTGGCGCTACATCCTAAAGGATGACGTCAGTAGCGCGAACCATCGCCTGATTTTTGCGCGATGAATGACATGTTCAGTATGTGAATTCGTGTAGTGTAAAGGAATTGTTTGCCAGTGCCACTTGCTCCATCGATAACAAACAGCAACTCACTTCCCGTTCCGAACTGTCATGTGCTACTGCATTTAAACCACTTCATTCGCATCATAAACGTTGAGTTGAGCATACATCAGTTGCTAATTTTAATTTAGCGGAGGAACGACATTCTCAAATGGATGTTGACTGGTCGTAGTCAAATGATAGACCTAGTTGGATGCTGAAACAGTAAGGACAGTTACCGGTAAAGTCAACAATCGTAGCACCAAAAGGAAGGAAAACGGGTTTGCATTGCTATACTGCCTGATAAACTCACGAAAATTGCAAGCGTTTGCATCTTCTCCCAACGACAGCGTTTTCAACTGGGGGAACGTCCAATGGGTTCGAATGTAACTCCGTAACATGATGAAGACAACAACCTTGCCGAAGTCTTCATTTGGAAGCAGAGAAATGCCACAGCCAAGCAATGCTCAACAGAGCATTCCACATTCATAGAGTCGAGATTGTGCGGAACGGCTGGAATGACGCTGGGCGTCCCAGCCAACGCAGCGAGAGAATGGGCTTAAAGAATCCACGCGTACGTGCGCTACTCTCCGCGCAGTGTTAACAGGCTTATGTTGCTCTTCCAACACTACAACTACTCCTGGTAACAACGTCTTCACATTGCTGACTGGTCAAAGGAGTCCTTCGCAGCCTCGACGCTCCTCTTCCACAGGGGCATTGCATCCCACTATTAACACTTTGCTTACCGCTCATGCAGATTTCGGTTTTTTAGTCTTTTCGCGTTTATTTTGTCCTGCCTATGGTCGAAAAAGTTATAGCCTTGCAGGCATCGAGCGTTAAGCAAAGGTAGCTCAGGCCTACGTCAGAGCGGTCGATCGAAGGGGTAAATTTTCCGTTAGCAACTTGTCAATCTATTGCTATGGAGGGAGGATCGGTGGACGGACGAGACGAAGGAAGGCATGAGAGGTCGGAAGAAAGCCAGGGATCGGCTGGGAATTGAACCCGGACCTCATGATTGCCGTTCAGGTGTGCTACCACTACAACACCGAACCCAGAAAGTTCAGTCGAGCCTCTCGATGCCATCCTCATCCATCACACTACAGTATTTAAACCATCTCTGTAACCAATGTCCTTGAAAGGCACAGGCTTGAAGGCTGAAAAGCTGCGTTGGCAAATTATGGAACGCACCTAGCCTATGACATATAATGGCGAAGGCTTGCAGACCTATCGGCTACCAATCCTATGTTTTGGAGGGGCAAAAGCTCTATAGCCAGAGGCTACACCCACTATGAAATGCCTTAGTACATCCTTATAAAGTATGGATTGATGGATGGATATATAGATTGGTGAATCTAAAAAACCGTCTACCGTTTTCTATAGGAGAAACACAGTTTCAGAAATGTAACAAAAAAACTACATTGGAGACGCGATCGATATTTGACAGTTACAAGCTGTTGAAATGTTTGCCAGTTTTTTTTCAGCACCCCTATGTCGTGCAATGCCCATTAAGATGTGAATTAAAAGTGTTTAGAGATGGATCATTCCACATGATTTGATTACCTGTGCTCGACCGTACCATAATTCAATTAAATTTCCAACTTTTAATTTTCAATGGACATCTGGATCCAGCTGATACTTGCCAGAGAGGCTTCATGAGTCTAAGGTTTTTTTTCACTTCCGCAAGATGGCGCTGTATCCCAATAGAGGGCGCTGTTGTTGACCGGGTGACCGAGGGTGATTAAAAAAAAGCATCAAAAGGGGAGAAAGTACGATTCGTGTACTCGAGTAAAAAATGTGAGATTCATAGACTCTTGGTATTTGACATACAGGAGGTGTTGAACAATTTTTTTCCTGAACATTTCTCCGAGCCATGTATTGTCCTGTTACAAGGCTTACAAGTGACACATTAAAACTTTTTTCAAATCACCCTTGGTCACCGGTCAACAGCAGCGCCCTTTATCGGGATACAGCGGAAGTGAAACAAACCACTTAGGCACATGAACCTCTCTCTCAAGTATCAGCTGGATCCAACTGTCCATTGAAACGTTAAAGTTGAAAAATGCATTGAATTCTGAGACGGTCAAGCATTGGTAATCACCTCACTTGAGGCGGAATGATCCACCTCTAAGCACCTTTATTTCAACTATATATGGGCATTGCACGACTTAGGGGTGCTGAAAAAAAGCTGACAAGCATTTCAACAGCTTGTAATCGTCAAACATCGATCGCACATCCATTGCAGTTTTTTCGCTACAATTATGAAACTGTTCCTCCCATAGAAAACGGTAGAGCGCTTTTTAAATTTGACTTTGGAGGTACATGCCCAAGGGGCACCCAATTTGGGGGGAGATGCTTTGAATGATATATATTTGCTTCAGTTAAACAGAGATACACAGAAAGCTGAAACTTGGCATGGACTGAGATACTGACCCAAAAATTTCAGGAATAATGTAAAGTTTCAGATGTATGGCATAGGGGCATGCTTTTGTTGTGACGTTTTAAATATTTTTAGTCCTACCGAATTGCCCAGAGATAGAAAGGTGACATTTGATGTATGAATCTTTGAGGGCCTGAATTCAGAAAAATTCAGACTTTGGAGGAAAATGCCCTCGGGCCCCAATTTTCAGGGATAGATATGTTGAAATATATTGTGCTACTTCAGTCAAAGGGAAATACATGAATATCCGAAAATGAGTATGAACGTGGTTAGTAATATGCTAATTTGCAGAAAATATTTACTTTGGAGATATATCCCTTTGGGGGCTATTATTTTTGTGGGGACGTTTAAAAAAAAATTGCTTAAGGGAAACGGATTATTATATAGTACTGGGATAAACGAATTCAAAGAAATTATTCACTGTGACGTACACACCACTAAGGTAATTTTTTTGTCGCAGAAATTTCGCTGAATATTTTGCCACAATACTACAGGTTATTTGCTTAGGAGGGAGAATGAGTCAACTCAGAAGGACAATTTCACTCGAAGAAAGCTGGTTCTTACATTCTTGCTATAAAAGTGCTGTATTGAGGAAAAACTATAAAGTGAAAATTTTGGGGCTACGAAGAATTTCAGTTTTAATCATGTTCCTGACACCAGATTTAAAGACTCTTTCTTACAAGTGGGAGTAGCTTAAACTCATGATGAAAAAATATCGTTAAAATCCAATGACTTTTACCCAATTTGTAGTTATAAGAATCGATAAGGGAAGCTTCAAGCTTGTATTATTGTTATTCTTTTATGGAGCGAGATTGTTTGCCCAAAGGGCAAACAAATTCGCTTTCCTCTAGTCTATTATACATTTCCTGTATAATGCAGAGTTCAGAAAAAAATCCGACTTTGGAGGTGAATTCCTTGGGGCACCCAATTTGGGGGGAGAGGTCACGATTTGCATGCCTCTCTTTGAAAATTTGTATCTCCCCAACCCTTCGTCGCAAAAACGTCAATTATGCGTCATTCTCCTCAACATAAATCATCTTAAATTATGATTTCAAAGATTTGATCATCTCTCTGCTCCCCGAAACGCCAAGGTGCCTTTTTTTTTAATTCGCGGTTCGCGAATTCGCTTCTTCCCTCGCTCATTCTCCGTAGAAACAGCGTCCGGAAAAAGCATACTCAAGTTTTTGGAGACAATCCACGTCCCGTCTTCGTGTCAAACGGCACAATGATTCATCGATCCGTTTTCCCAGGAATTTCGATGATATACCTCAAAATCCCTCTATTTTTCCATAGTACCCCAGATTCATGGTCATTTCTCGAGAACAAGAGCGAATCTCAAAATTTTAGTCCTCAAATCTGTGGGGGAGCCTCTTGGGAAGCTTCAGAACCATTTTCAAGCGAATCCGTTCATTCCCCTCAGATCCTTTTCGATTTTACTTAACAGAAGTTTGAAGTTTTACAGCATGTCACAAACGTAGAGCCATTTTCATTCACTTTTATTGGGCATTGATAGTATACGCAATAATTTTATTTTAAAGAGGAGCATATCAGGATTCCAATGGTTCCGAAATCCCGGATTAATTCCACTGGATGTGCAAGTGGGAAAATAATTATTAAATTCATTCATGCATTTTCCTGTTCATGATGCGCGAGCGCAGGCTGTTACCTCATATGTCCTTCCTCCCCGTTGCATCGCGTACTCACGCACTTCGCTCCCTCTCTTCTCGCGCCTCCTTCCTGCTTTATCTACTCAAACGAACGAGGGGACGTGGAGTCAGCCACGCTCTGCCGTTTATCAGACTTGCTGTCGCTCGTATTCCTTCCCTTTCCCTGTGTATCCGTTCCCCTTCCTTTTCCACACTCAAGTTGGATGGAGAATACTCTATAATACGGAGTCCAAGTTCCGCGCTGGAGCAGACGACTTCAGCGCTACCTGATTGGCCGTGAACGAAGAGTCTTTGAATTCAAGATACAATCCCACGGGCTCCTGTATTCAACAATGGGCCTCGGAGTGCTGCCTCGCTTCTCCTTCCTTTATCTTGAAAACGTTTCGGTTTACAAAAAATTATGCTCGAACCAGATTTGTAGTCTAGAGTCTGTCCTAGTTGGTGCTATACTTTTTTTTGTTGCTTTTTGACCATATTTAATTGAGATGAACACACGCAAAGAATAATGTCTGTATCACACATCTCCCTTTCCATCAGACGCCGTCCATACCTATACTGTGAGGTTCAGTACCCGTCACAACTCCGCACCGTCTTCCTTTGCGTGATATCAACATAGGGACAATATTCCGGAGCACGG